TCTTGACTAGTCGAAGTCATCCAAAGGCTTTTAGAGACTAGGGTGGGAAAGGTAATTTTAAAGGCACAGGAACCCATACAGATTGTTGTCACAGTGTTATTATTTGATGAACAGTTATAGATCGAGGACAGTCCATGGGAAATTTCAGTTGAAGATAAAATATACACTTTCTCCCGTCTTCGATATATGTTCCTTTTTTTTTTTTTTCCCTTCTACCATAAATATAAAAACCATCATAACAAGACGTCACACTAAGCATCTTCCTCTTTAGTTCGTGCCAAGTTGCTTCAAATAATACAAAATCACAGTGGAAAGGAAGCTATATTATCTTGAAAATGAAATAGTGGTTTTGAAGGAAAAAAAAGGTCATGACCACATTTTGTCCTTAATATAAAAATCAGTTAAAAATTTCAAATTGATCATAAATATAAGATCTTAATTCACCTTATCTTCTATATTTATTTATTTTATTTCAAATAATCCTTATAATAATTGTACATGTTAAATAGTTTAGAGTACTTTCAATGCATATAATTAATAAAAATATTTTTAAAAAGTCAATATATATTTATTACAAATAATTAACTTAATTAATTTTTTTTATATTTATCGAATTTAATATACTTGGATGCATCATATTGAATGTCAGCTGCTAACTGCTTCTTGTTGGGAGTACGCATTAGCATCGCTCTCCAGGCCAGCTGGCTCCCCTCACAAATAATTATGACCAACACAAACACACAGCATTATTTATATGTTGAATATATCAGATTTATAGAAAGCTTTCTCGTGCTGGCAACAGATAGTAGATTTTTTTGGGGCTGGATAAAAGTCACATGGTCGCGTGAACATGCCGCGGGAGAAAAAATGTCGGCGATCACATTTTGTAGTAATCCAGTTTTGCGGTGTAAAAAAGTGCTTTCTTTTGAATCACTTTTCTCCGGAGCACAGCGAGGACTAGATTCATCTCACAAAACATCGAATTAGTCGACGCTTAGTTACACTGACCGCGTATCATTATTTATTACAGTTATTTGGAGTTCCTGATGATGAACTTCCTTTATTAAAAATCATTTGACATTTTTATCGGGTCAATTAGGAACTCCATAACATGCTCACTCCCGGGAGAAATCACATGCAGTTTAATTGCCTTATATGTATTGATGAATTAGTCCATACAGATCTAATCAGGCTACGCGCTTTGTATTTTAGCTAACTATTGGTCAAAATAAAAATCAGCCAACCAAACAGGAATAAGCTTCATCACGAGGGACAAAGGTCAATATACAATGATCATAGTGAAGAATGGTTATGATTCGTTAAATGCAGGCTCTGAATTTTGAGCTTTTTTGGGGCATGTTCAAATTTTACCGAATAACAAACGCAAGGTATGTTCTGAGCTTGATGCACAGACACCAGTCTCACGCAAAACGATATTATGTGTGTTTGGATCCACAATTGGATCCAAAATAAGTGGCTTTTATAGTGTCGAGCATGCTTGGGTTTTGATTGTTCTGGTTGACGAAATGTTTGGTTCATATGATTTAAGGGCTAAAAGTTCGTTTGAATCTGACCTTTTTAAAAGCTGCTCCTTCCTTACTTATGCTTGTATTTAATCATGTCTATTTCACAGCGACGTCTGTCCTCTCCACAGTCCACCATCAATATTAAGTCATTAACCCCTCCCCCGCCCCCCCGGGGGGGCTTCTCCCTCCAGGAGGAATGACCAAAAACACACAAAGTCATGGGACCAAAAAAGATTTGAATTTCTTGTTTTCAATTGTAAATGTAAAGGGACAAATTTACGTATGCATGTACAGGAAACAGATGGAAGAATTTAATCATAATCTAAATAACTTTTTATCTAATTTAACTTTTATAAACTAACTTCTATAAAATTCAATCCAGACATAAATTACATTACCCAATTTAATTTTTATTCAATTAAGTCAGTTTACCATTAATTACAGCGTTATATTTTTTGAGCAAGACATTTTGAGCTTGATCGAGCAAATGTTGTTAATTTACAAATGTGAAATATAATTCTGTAGCAAAATATTTATTCGCATGCGGCATTTTGGGGTAATAGAGACAGCCGACGCACATTAATTCAAAAAAACAGAGACAATGACAAGCAACGAAGTGGACTAACTGCACCGAATCAATATAAATATGAGCGGGAAAAAAAAAAACATTTGAGGAAGATGCCGTATGGAGTGGGGGATAATCACGAGTGTAGGCTGGTCAAAAAAAGAAATCACAACTATAGGCATGTTCTTTTCTAATAATCCTATCTAAAAGACATTATTAGGTAAACATAGACACTTCTTTCAACAGGGATTCGAACATGTAAAGAAATAGTCAAGTTTCCAATAATTCTATTTAAGACGCTATCAGGTATTAAATGTGGACACCTCTTTTAATGGGAATTCGAACATGTAAAGAATTAGGGGATGTTTGGATGAAACCAAACCATGGTTTGGAGAATAGATTATAGGGAGAATAGATTTTGTGAATAATAGATTTTCTAAAAAAGTGATTATGAGAAGTGAGAGTATTTGGACAGTTGTTACCAGAAGCACCTTTTATATATACAAATTACTAAAAAAAGCATAAGTTAATATGATAATTACATAAAAAATAGATTTTATGATATATTTTAATTTGAAGGAATAAAATTATTAATAATATATTTTTTACCAACATAATTAATAACACATAAGATAATATAATTAATAATTAATTAATATATGTATATATATTTATAAGATATGAGATTAAATATGTTTATAAAAAAAATAATTGAGGGATGTTAAAGTCATATTATTATTAAGATCTATTCTAATAAGCACAATTATACTCTCTAATTTGAACCAGAAGCAGAATGAGTTCACTTCTTCTGAAATCATAGTTTTGAGCTCTAAACCATGATTTTGATTTAAAACCATGGTTTGTCAATTTCTTTTCCTGTTTGGTAAGGCTGTGTTTGGGTGACACCCCAAACCATGGTTTGGGGAATAAATCATCCAAACACCCACCCAAAAACTAAAACCATGGTTTTGGAAAAAGCAAAATTTTTTTGCTTTTGGAGAAAAAAGGGGGAGAATGTAAGAGCCTATAAGATATGTATCTTGTTATTTTTTTTATAAACATATTTAATCTTATATTTTATAAATATATATACATATTAATTATCTATTAATTATATTATCTTATGTATTATTAATTATGTTGGTAAAAAATATATTATTAATAATTTTATTCTAGTCAAGTTCGCTGGTTGCTTTCTGACTCTCTGTCATCTATGACTGTGCTGTTATTCTTGATTTTGTTTTGTGAGGGGATGTTTGGGGTTGGGCTGGGCTGAATAGAAGTGAAATCAGGTGTAAGGAATATGATCCACTCATGGTTTCGCCCGGAGTCTCAGAGGCCCAGCCTGATCCCCCCTTCATCTGCATTGACGGATTGATCCTCCCATGCCATTGGGCCCCTTATGTCCATAACCATTCCCCTGTTTGATATTTGATACTCATCCGTTGTGGGGTTGGGTTAGTTTTGGGATTTGAGTGGCGAGTCCGCCTTTTTCCACTTCTACTCGAAAGAAGGAGCCAGCCAGCCCTCGTGCACTGCCCAACCCTTTATTGGTTCTTTTATAAATTTGCCTTCCACGTCTGGGTTCATCGCTTTTCTGCCTCTAATTTTGTGCCCACTCCTTTTCTCCTTTTTAGTTTTTACTATTTTATTCCCCAAACCAAACTATTCCCTCACTTATTTTAACTTTCTCTCTCATCCCACCCCCCGCCCAAAACAAAAAGCAATTTAAATCTGGAATTTTGTCCTAAGCGCAATTTTTCCCCTTGGGCAATTTGGACATTTAACATTAAAATCTTTGAAGCAACTAGTTCCTTAAAACGAATCCAGACCCTTTTTAGAAAGAAAAAAAAAAATTAAAATGAGGAGTTTTCAGCAATTTTTTCTGAATTCAATAATCTTACAAGTTAAAATAGGAGAACGATGCTGTATTACTTCTCCATTCACTCAAATTGAGTACTTCATATTACAGATTCCTCACGGCTGCGTTTAGCATGAAATTTTGGTTCTCAAAAAGGGAGAACAGAGGGAGGTGACCTTGTGGGGTTGGACCAAAAAAAGCAGCGTCACAGGGGACGACGCCGTTGGGTGTGGTCATCGATAGTCCGCATCAAAGGTGCCGTATTTAATTACTTTAAATTTGGTGGCATCTGTTACCCTTTTTGACTATCTGTCCCAGGTTGCGTCTTCAACTTCAAGATTGTCCCTCCTCAGGACCACAAACCCCACATCTCTTCTATACAGAATCAAACTTTTTTGGTTTTCTTTACACTCTAAACACTTGCTTGTAACACCCCCCCACTACTCTTAAAGATAAAATATTTTAAAAATTTTCATTTGATTTTAAATATGAATACTTTATTTTTATCTTCCATATTATTTTTTGTAATGACATTCTTATTTATGGATCATTTTTATATTTATTCAATATTTCTAATAATTAAATATAACCAATTTTTTATATATTAATTATAAATAATATTTTAACTACAATTTTTAAATTTTATAAGGCGTTATATTTAAAACGGGAGAGGGTATAGCATTCACTAACAGAGCAAAACAGATGTGGTCCCCGCCAAAATTATGACTGCACGTGTGGTGCACGGTCGCCTCTTGAAGATGGAAGACGCTCCACGATGAGCCGGTTGAACAGAGCGCCGCTGCTTAACTGAGTAGAATAATGATACTACTGGATATATATAATATATATATATATATATATATATATTGTTTTTTCGAAAAAGCAAGCATTTTCATATTTCCGAACTCCGAGTCTAACGCCTAAGCTAAGGGAAGGCTACCCGCTAAATGAAGAGGGCTTTGGCATCAGGGAAGGAAATTATGAGTCAATCATATCGTTCATGGCGATGATGAATGAACTGGCCAAATGGGTAAAATACTTTTTTGACCATTGAAAGGGCTCAGTTAAAGAGGGAAAAAGACAAGTGTGGGGAAAAAGGCGCCTCTTTGACGGGCATTGCATTGTTGCTTGAGAGTTGAACCCCGACTTTCCTCCTCTCTACCTTTCTTGTTTCTTTCTCACACGCTTCTTATCCTGCGGATTTGAGGGGCCTTCGCCTCGTATTTTATTTTCCGCTCTGTTGCAACTTTCCTCTCAGTCACTTCCGGAACTCTGATAGAAATGCCTCTGCATCGGTCGTCTTCAGGTGGTGGCGCCGAGGTGCTCGATCTAGAAACTGCTGTCAAAGGCGGGGTTTTGGACGGCAAAGCTGCGCTGCCTGGTGGTGGCTGCGGCGATGGTGATAAAATAGATCTGAAGGTGTTGATTGAAGAGCTTGACTCAGTTGATGTGCCGTCGGTGTTCATCTGTCCAATCTCGTTGGAGCCTATGCGAGAGCCTGTGACTCTTTGCACGGGTCAGACCTACGACAGATCCAACATTCTCAAATGGTTCGCTCTGGGTCATAATACCTGCCCCACGACGATGCAGGAGCTCTGGGACGATTCAGTGACGCTGAACAGGACTCTCAGCCAATTAATCCATAGTTGGTTCTCGCAGAAGTACCTCTCATTGAGGAAGCAGTTCCAGGATGTGCAAGGAGGAGCTCTGGAGCTCTTAGGGACACTCAAGAAGGTGAAGGGTCAAGCCAGAGTTCATGCTCTTCGGGATCTTAGGCAGCTTGTCACCGCCCATGCGTCCACAAGGAAGAGAGTCGTGGAAAATGGTGGGCTGTCTTTAATTTCTTCTTTACTGGGTCCTTTCACTTCCCACGCAGTTGGGTCGGAAGCAATAGGAATTCTAGTGAACCTGGATTTGAATTCAGAGTCGAAGAGAAATCTGATGCATCCAGCCAAGATATCTTTGTTGGTCGATGTTATGAACGAAGGAACGATTGAGACAAAGATGAACTGTGCAAAATTGATTGAAGCATTGTTGATGGAAGTGAATGAGTCGGAGACGGAGATTTTGTCAAGCCTGAGTCTTTTGGTCGGATTACTGAGGTTAGTGAGGGATAAGAAACACCCAACTGGGGTCTTAACTGGACTCATGTTACTGAAGACAATCTGTTCCCACGAATCAGTCAGAAGCTCCATGGTAAGCCTAGGAGCAGTGGCTCAGTTGATTGAGCTTCTTCCAAGTTTAAGCCACGAATGCCTAGAGATAGCCCTGTACATTCTAGAGGTATTGTCAACTCTTCCAGAGGGAAGACTGGCATTGAAAGAGTGCCCGAACATCATACCCAATGTGGTGAAGTTAATGATGAGAGTATCAGAGAGCAGCACTCAATTCGCTTTGTCAATATTGTGGGCTATCTACAAGCTTGCCCCTGAAGAATGTGCATCACAGGCGGTGGAGGCAGGTTTGGCACCCAAGCTTCTGCTTGTGATTCAGAGTGGTTGCAACCCAGTGTTGAAGCAGATGTCTACCGAGTTCTTGAAAATGTGCAGTCTCAATTACTCCACTAGCCTCTTGATTTCTAAATGTATGCTCACCAGAACAATACGATGAAAGTATGAGGGCAGCTTGTTCATATTCCTTTCCAGTCATATTTTCGCTGCTACCCTTGATATGTGCATATTAAATTACATAACTTTTATACTTATCAAGCTTCAAATTTGTTCTTCCGCTTTCCTTTGCAAGTCATTGTTAATCTGCGGTATATTACTAGTCGAATTACCTCTATTTGTTTACATAAAAAGCTGATGGGTCGTGATTCAAATCAACAATTTGGCTGCTTCTCATCCATATCGACCAATTAATTGGTCCACTCACGATATAACGTGTTGTACCTTCGAAAACAATTCAGTTGGAAGTGGAACTCTGATAGCACTGTTAATGACATGGTGTTCTTCTTCTTCCTCCTCTTCTTCTTTCTTCCCCCTATATCATTTATGAAGTAATATTTGTGAGCTAAGATTCGCTTCGGGTGATTTTCGTTTTTCATGAGTTAACGCTTGATATGATCCAAACTCGAGTGGGGTCTGTCATCTCAGCAGCCAGCATTGGGGTGATTGAAATTTGAAAGTGCTGGTTTTGACCGTGTGATGGGTTGTAGACCGATTGACTATTTATGTTTTGCTGGAAGATGGTGGATGTTCTAGGAGCCAGGATTGTTCTGGCATGACAGAATAATCAATGAGGGAGAAGTTGAGACTAGATAAATTGTGATAGTGACGTGTTTGCCTTTAATAAAATGAATAAGAAAGAAGAGGAAGCCATAGAGGATGCTCTATATATTAAAAACGAAGTATTAAATGATTGGATAGAAAAAGCTAACGGGTGAAAGAAGGAGACAGAATCTGAAACTGGTGGGCATTAAGTATGGTCAAGATTGGCAACATTTGAAAATAGGTAGAAGTTGATTTGAAGTTTGAACGGAAGAGAAGGGAACCCCAAATTAACAATTGTTTCAATTTCAAAAACGAATCAACAATGGTACCTCATTTATGTGCAGCCTGCTCATTTTTAAAATTAGAAAAATTGAAAGCAATCTTGTCCTTATCAGCTGTGTCTGCGGGCGGGCTGCTCGGCACACTTAAAATTTTAAGTCACTCCTCTCCCTCCTCGTCCTTTCCAGTTTTCGGCCCATGTTTCGTTTGTTTTCGCCCCTTATTTTTGAAAACCTTGGGCCACTTGCTACCTCCTATTTTAACACGGGCCGTACAAAATTTAAATTGACATGTTTAACTGAGCCCGAACCTTTCTGACCCAACCAAAAAAAAAACTAAGCCTAAATCAAGTAAACAAAAATGGTAAAATGCATTTTTTTGACCTTTTCTTTTCCAGACTTGTTCAGGACCAGTTTGGGCACTCTAGAAAAATATTTTTATGCTCTATGAAACAAAAATAGTCCATATATTTTTGTCATACGACATCAAATCACTTATTCACAGTTAACACTTGTTTTTACTGTCCCGAACTGAAAGGAAGATAACTTGCTAGAGAAAAAACAATGTCACTGTATCCTTCTGCATTAAATCCATAGAACCCTGAGCTGTAAATACGGAACTTGAGATTTCAGTGCTGTGCATATAACTTAACTTGGAAGCAAAGACTTCAATATGTACAGTGTCTTTATTGGCCTCACCTTTCCTATCTAATCTCTGCTAGAGTTTCATTCAAGTCTAGGAAACCCAAGAGAAAAAACAAAAAGCTGATTATGCTTGAAACTTGATCCTATTTAGCTTTTCGTAGTGCCTTTGGAGATGAACACGTGTACCTTGAATTTTGAAACTACCGGTTTAATTTGGTTAGTGCAGAGAAGTATGATTAAGACATGTTGCCTGGGTTTTTGCGAGCCCAGTACTTTTGGAGACACACTTGCGGCCACCCTTGTTCGTCCTACTGGTTTACGCACATTTAGCTGTAATTCAATTAAGAATTGGCAATGCAGTGACTACCAGATGAAAAAGCTTGCAAAGCCTTCCTTCCCAGGCTGCAAGCAGCCATTGGGTTGGGGTAACCATCTGTGATTTTCACGTGCTTTGTCTGGAAAGAGTCTCTAGCGGACGATGCATGAGTGGAAAATGTCACGTGCCGTAGCTCTGTTTCCTCCTGTTGCTCCTTTGCATGGGTTTTTCCAGAGTGACCACCATAAAAACCATAAATTATAGAATACAGACTGATGTGATGGCGTTGGTGAAAATTTATGAAGATGAGGATGGAAGATGGACTAAATGAAATGAAGACTGGTGGAAATCAGATGGCATACATCAATCGGGAAGGTTCATTGTGGGCATAGGGTCCTATTATTTATGTGCGCACCCTGGCAAGAGCACAGGACAATGCTATCCATTATCCAATGGCTTCCACTTTCAACTTTCAAATTTCAAATGAAAGCCACCGTTGGCGAATTCAGAAGTGTTGAAGTCAAAGCCCGGTCAAAATATTGCACAACCAAGCCCAACAATATAAAGCCCAAAAACACGATTTCATGCTGATGTATTATCTGATTGTAATGCGGATCCTTTGTTCACGCTAGGACCTTGTATCTCTAGGGCTCTGCCCTTCACTTATAGCACTCATTCGCTGCCTCTGCACATTGTATAAAGGCTGTACGCTGCTCTCCAATGGCTATGGCTGAAACAAGAATGCAAATGATCGGTATTTATATCTTTCGGACTCTCTACCTTTTTAAAGAGAGTCGACATTTGTCATATCTTGCATGGCATTTCGGATCTGCAGAAAAAGGTAAAAGAAAAATCATAACATGGACCAGGTTACACTAGACAGAAGACATACCGGACAAAGTATTTGATGCTAGGAAATTGTTACATATGTTTTCTGCCTTCTGCAGCGCGTAGTATGCATTAGAACGTGTGGGTAGTTATGCATATGCAATGCGGTCTTGATGGTAATTTTCTCATTTCAAGAAAATAAAAAATAACGGCCCCTGTATATTTTTGCCAACAGATATTTTAATTATGATTTTGATAAATTAAGAGATGCTTAACGCGTCAATTTGGATTAAGGGGCCACAAGTTGTAATGACGAGGCGCCAATAGGGGTAGTTCGTAAATCGTAATTGTATGAGCCTTCTTGTGTTGTTGCTACTGTTTAATCTCGTCAACCGTAAAGCGTTTCCCCTGTTTGGGACCCCGAGAGCGGAATGGAGATGTCATGGCTGGCTCGCTCTCTTGCTAACTCCCTCCGACTCGACCCCGATGACGCCGTCGGCGACGATGATGATGAATGCGACTTCGTACCCAATCATCCACACGACCCTCCTCCTACTTCATCTAGAAATCACGAATCCCATCACCTGCACCAACGCCAACAACCGCCAGACAATGAGTTTGGATTAGAAAATGAAGCGCTTGCTCGGGGGGTCCAAGAGGATCTTCACGTATTCAAGCAAACTCTGACTCGTCAATTCTGGGGAATGGCATCCTTCTTAGCTCCTCCCCCCGCAGATTCCCACCCTTCCTTTCCCTCTCACCGCCACACGCAATCTTTTCCTGCCGCATCCACTCGTAATCGATCAGAGCCTTCCGATCACTGTGTTTCTCAGAATACTGAAGAATCAGAGGCGCGACGGATTCGGAGAGGCTTTTCCCACATCGAAGAAGCAAGTTTCCACCGGGACGTCCCTGAAACTTTGGGCAGAATTCCGAATTCGATTTCGTTTGGATCCGAGCCTCTAAGAAACGAGGAATCCGCAATGGAGGAGTATGATCTTCAACGCGGGGTTGGAATTACAGATGAGGTATTGGCCTTCGCCAGAAACATCGCGATGCATCCCGAGACGTGGTTGGATTATCCTGTCGACGAAGAAGATGACACGGATGGTAAGCGGGATTTGATATTACTCATCCGGCTGTCTTATTCGTGAATGATGCTTATATTTCCTTTCGACGAAAATTCTTTATGCTCTTGATTTGAGTTTTGCTTGAGTCATAACCATGAAGATCGTGCTGTTTATGAAATTGTTGAGTTGACCCGCACACTGCGTCCGTATCGGCAATGAGCTTGATCTCCCCTTTTCATTCGATTCTTGTTGTCGTTTTTTGCGTGCTCCAATTCTTATAGTGATGAACTTGGCTGTCTGCCCACAATTAATTCTGCATATCTACTTACTCGTAGATTTTGACATGTCCGATGCCCAACAAGAGCATGCTATGGCCATTGAAAGACTTGCTCCTAGATTAGCTGCGCTCAGAATTGAGCTGTGCCCTTGCCATATGAGTGAAAGTTACTTTTGGAAAGTCTATTTTGTACTTTTGCATTCAAGGCTTAATAAACAGGACGCTGAGGTTTTATCTACACCTCAGGTGAGTAACCTGGATTTCGCGCTGGTTTTCATATTGTTCTTGCAATCCGGAATGCACAAATTACCTTACTCTTGTGGTAGCTTCCTTGGTTGATATGCTAATGTGGCCATTTTATCTAAGGAGACTTATCTTTGAGTGCAGTTTTAATCCTTTTCAAGTGGATTCAAAATTACAGAATCGTCAGGTCCTTGCTTTTAGTTTAAAATCTTTTTATGCCAAACCTCATACACGAATAATTGGCAAACAACAAAATTTGGTCATGAAGAAGGAATACCGGCCATATTATGTTTGATTAATAGTTGGATTTTTCCAACCTCGAAATGTTGATGGGGTTTAATTTTGAAAATATGATAGACTTCACACCAAGAGGTGTTGGCTCTGTTATAGTTCAACTTATTTTGCCGTACAAAGTCCTTCGAATGTTCCTTTGTGGACCTGTATCTGTTTTATAAGCACTAACTCATTCAGCCAGCATTAACTGTGCCTTCATGATAATATTTGCAGGTTCTGGCAGCCAGAGCACTGTGGATGAAGGAGTTACAGGAGCAAGAGAAACTTGAATCTGAATGTTTTGGAAGGAGCATTTCCTACTCAAAAGACACAGCTCAGCAAGAAGACTTCTCTCCCAGATTTTTCGATAATGCCTATTCTGGTGCCATGGCTTATGGAACATACAGATTTGAGGAAGATTATGGGAGTGATAAGCACATGGGTGAATGCTCTGAAGACCAGTTAATCGATGAGCCAGTCGTCGAGGAAAACTCGAAAACTAAAACTGAGGAGAAGGACCTATCAAGGGTTCGATCCTCTAAATTTGTTCTCGAGGACTATGAAGATGATGAGTACGAATGGCCGGAGGACGATATTGATGGAATTACCGTGCCCCAGGTAAATGAAGAAGACATATCTTTTAGTGATCTCGAGGATGATAATTATTCGTTGAAACCTGTTACCATAACAGAATTAAATGCATGATAGTGGTGCCGTAGGGCCAGTACTGAGTAGATCTCCAATAGAAAGAAGAGAAAGTATGGAGGTCTCCTGCATTTTTTGGTTGTACATAGTGATTGTTTTGTTTTAAACCCCCCCCCCCAAAAAAAAACAAAAAGAGAGAGAACGAAACAAAGAAAAGAAGTTGCAGAGGCGGTGCTGTGACGTGTTGCATGCGGTGCAGCAAGGTTAATTGTATCGGTTTATTTTTTGATTTGTAATGTACACCAGGTTTTTGTGTGGATGTACTTGGGCAAGTGTCGGATGGAATAAGAAAGATGGGGACCTATATTTGATACCTAATATGCGAAACAAGTGTAGGGTGAAATATACATGCCCATCAATTCCCAGTTTCTGAAGACATTTTTGTGCCATGATTGTATGTATGTATATAATAACACAGAAGCAAATGTAGCCAGTAGGAATGACTTTGTCTTTTCTGTTCTCAAATATTGAATGTGAAGTTTCGCAAGTTTGATGACAACCGCAGGTTGGTTTAAAAAAGACGACAGCTGCAGGGTTTATGGTGTCCACCTGAATGAATGATCCTCTAAATTATTCAATGATCTCTGTCTAGGTCGGTTTTGTTTTTTTTTTCCTAGTTCCGAATTAAAGAAAGCCAACCTGTAAGTTAGTTCCCTTCAATAGGTGAAACGGTGACGAGATTCCATTGTTAAGACAGGATATTATTAATTCTGTCCATAGCTAAAAAATGAAGACCTACGTGGTGAGGCATAAGTCAAATACAGAGGGTGCAGACGCAGCACATCAATGTCCCCAAACATGCAGTTCCGTCACCTGGAGCAATTCAAAGGAGAGAGAACTTGGGCGATCAATCGTAAAGAGGGGAAATCAGTGTTCGAAGGGAAGTGGAAGAAATAGCTTTTCACCCCAACATTGAGATATGTCATTCAACTACTTCTGACACCTGACTCGCCCTATCGTAAGAATGGGGAGGCATGGCCATGAGGGGACAGGCTTGCGCACTTGTGCTTCTCTTCATCATTCTCAGTTTTTGTTTACGCTTCCATATGATTAATGATGAATGATCAACTTGCATTATTGCTACCGGAATGATTATGCTTTGCTCTTCTATGTAATGGGAATGAGGGGACCCGGCTATGTTGTTATCCAGCAACGCATGACCACAGGAGCAGGCCCAGCGTTGAAGTTCATTTTTTGACCGTTTGCAAAATTTAGATCAAATAAATTATTGGAATTTTGTCGAGTTTGATGTGCCACTTATTATACATTTTATATGATATATATATATATATATATATTCCAGCTAATAACGATTTAGATTTCCAGCTGATAGAGCCCTTTCTCCCTCTCATGGACATCTAGTTTAACCAGATTAAATATGAAGCATGTTCCTATAGAGTTTTAAGTAAATTCTATACATACACACACATCAATAAAACTTTGCATCAATAACAACTCAAATTCAAGGCAAAGCAGGTCTAAAATATTTATCCTCCTCCATCAAACTCCGTCTCTTGCCTAATAGCGTGGAGGGGGATCAAGGATATGAAATTTGGTTTCCATATCATGAGAGAACTCAACCAAATTGTCAGTAAGTAACATGTGCTTTCGGTGACATGATTAATCAAAACCTTTCAGTCTATGTGAAATAATAATCTAAGCATCATTTATAACATCTCTAAATGAGCGATTTCTCTCACAGCCTCTACTTATCAAATCAATAGCCTGGCAAAATAGTATGAATTTTTATACATTTTGTATAATATATAATTAATTATACTAGTATTATATTTCTGTCAAAATCTTGAAGAGACAAGGCAAGACAAAAGCAGGCCTAGCCGTGAGGTTGTGTTGTAAAGTATTCCATACACGAATTCTCGATTCTAGCTGCCTCCTGCGAGTGGAGGACGGAGACCCATTATTCGCCAGAATCTCAGTTTATATATGTAGCGTTCTCTTCTTCTTCTTTTTAATTTTTTTTTTTTTTTGGAAAAAACGTTAGTTAATATAGTATTTAGTTCACTGTATCCCTTCCCGATCATCCCACTTTTAGTTTATGGGGCCTTATATCTGGTTTCTTTTAAAAAAAAAAAAAACATATATTATATATCCTTGCCATTTATGGAAGTTATATACTCCTCCGGTCCTTAATATATGACCCAATTTTTGAGTTGGTTTTGGTCCTAAATATAAGACCCATTTCTCATATTTATCAATTTTCTCTAAATTACCCCTATAGATACTCCCTCAACCATAATCAAATAGAAGAGGGAGAGGGGGTATTAAAAAAGATAATTATGGTGTTTTAGGAAAAATGTGTCACTTTTCTTATAATTAACTAATTTACCTAACTTCTTTAATCTAATCAAATTAGTTAAATGGGTCTTATATTAAGGAGCGGAGGAGTATATGTGTGTGTGTATTTTTCAAGACAGGATACTTTTATTTTGTATTTACTTTTGAAGTTCAAGATGAAGACCATTATCTCATCAGTTTTTTTTTTTGGGGTTCAAATATCTCATCAGCGTTAGCAAAAGGGGTTCGGGTATCAAACAGGCTTTAAGTTGTCGACCAGAATCGATCTGATTCTCCATGGCCCCGAGTTGCAACGCCATCACAAATTTTATCTTGTTATTTGAAAAGGGATTTCAATTAAGGAAAGTTATTTTTTTCCCCAAAAAAAAATGCTATAGCATGATATTTAATGATTTAATTCAAAACCAGCAGTTCATCAAATCAAAATTTCTACAGCTGTGTGGGACGAATAGTCCATGCCTTCTGTATTAATGTTCATGTTTTTTGAAGTGTATTTAGCCAGTATTGTCAGTTAATCTAATTTTATGTCAAACTGGCCGAATGTAGTTTGGACAAACATACGTCAGCGTGTTTGTGCATGGCTCCCCCCCCCCTTTTTAAGGAATGCGGTAAGTTATGAAAAATCTTGGGTTATTGCGAAAATTATATGAGCAAATTAAAAAAACTTGTACACGGCGAGTCCATTTGTCGTCGTTTGGCCTTATTATGTTGTGTTCATCATAGGTATAGGACATGATTATAAATGGGTCGGACGAAAAGCTGCTTTAAGAAAATTGGGAAAAGGTCTATCGTTTCGTTTGTGGCTAGTTGAGAGCAAAAAGTTGTTCATCTTCCATTAACTTTTCTCGCTCTAGATTATCATCAACAAGGAACCCGATATACATTGGACATAAAGCTGTGCTTTCTTTGCACAAATTAATTCACCCCAAAGCGTTCTAAGATGAATATTTCGAAATACTGGAGCTTATTCCTTTTTTCTCTCTCCCAGAATAAGCTATATTTATTCCATTATTTAGCTTATTAACTTGTGGGGGTCGAGTGAGGGATCAGAGTAACGAAGAATAGCCTCAATCTTTGCGTTTGAACTGGAGAGCCGCGACAATAAAGTCGTTGATTTCTTGAAGAGAAAAAAGAATAAAGAATATAATCTTGAGCATTATCTCCTTGATTTGATTATAAAAGCAGCGGGGTTATAAGAAGATCAAAGAAGGAAAGTGTGGGATGATCGAATCCTTTTTTTTTGGCCCCCCCAAACACCGTTCAATTTTCGTAGGGAAATGACACGCGGTCCCTGCATATTTGACCGAAGCGGGAGACGTTGGCAGCTGGCAGGCGGCGTCTCCTTCGTTGACCAAAGTGTAGAAGCTGACGGTTTAAGCTAAAAGGTAAGGAAGAGGGGGAAAAATGGAAAAACGCCGTTGCCGGGGATCGAACCCGGGTCACCCGCGTGACAGGCGGGAATACTCACCACTATACTACAACGACTTACTTGGAATGGTTGTTGCTAATTTCTTATTTAACTTTAACATTAAAATCTCCCCATGGTTAGGGATGACTGATGAGAGATCCCGCTACCTGGAGAGCTGCGTATATAATACACATATACGGGAAAATATCATTAGTCGTCCATCAGAGGTTTGAAACTCAGTCTCTGCTTTGTGATCATATGTTTTGTATGGAGCCAACGATGTCCCCAGTGGATGCATGGGAACCCTCGGAGGATATCCTATCAGCAGCATACTAATCTGTGTGATTATTACTAATGACGCCAAATGATCCTTCCCGTTAAGTATACACACTGCGAACTCATAATCGAGGACTCCCAAATTTCTGATCAGATGTGCTATCTCCGGTTATTAATATAAGAATTTGTGTAACTTTTAATTTGATCCTAAATATAAGATCCCAATCCATTTTGTCTTGCATATTTATCTATTTTTTTCAAATTAGCCTTTATAATAATAGTAGTTCTAGCCTATACACTTGATTAGTAAGAATATTTTAAAAAAGACAACATCTATTTATTACAAATAACTAATATAACTAATTTCTTACTTTATTCAAACTAGTTTACTAGCTCTTATATTAAATATCGAAGGTTTTTTTGCCAGCTATATATGTGTATCCAAATACATATATATAAGCTCTTAATTAATAATGACTTTTGTTGAATTTTGATTTTCTTCATAAGATGCTTATAGAGACATTCCAACTGTGCTTCATGACATTTGCTTTTTCCCCATGTGTCATCCGCATCATTCCCTTTATTTATTAATTTCCTGGTGCACGTAACCCTAAACCTTATCCCGGCCCCCACTATGCTCCCATATGATATGAACTACTCCCAGCCAAATCCCCCCCGCGAATAAAATAATATTAGTATCAGCCTCTAATAATTAATTTTAACTAATCGTCAGATGGTTTAGGTATGCCTGATCGAAACGGAAAGACAAGAATTGGGAGAGTGGAAATTCAGATTTGGCCGAAATAACTAAAAAGAGAATTCTAACCATCTGATTATTTTATTAATTAGACACAATTTCTTTTAATTAGTTGGATGACCCAATCCCTTTTTAGCCTTATCGTTTATTTATTATTTTACAGGTAAGCAAGCTTTTCTTTGTTTGAAACATGAAGGGGCCTGCCGGGACACATATATACCAAGACCCTTTTTATTTAACCAACCTGAATTGATTACGGTAATTAATCATCACTCTAACCTTTTATAACCTAACATGATGAATGACATATGAAGCGTGGCGGTAAATAACAAGTAAGTTTAACGCCATCAAAAGGACTGGAAAGAAACTAACACTGCAGTTGCTAAAGTAAACTTTTTGATTAAAAAGGATATAATAACTCGATCGGGTTTGGAGAGATTATCCAAGTTAGAACTAACAAATCTTCACGATTCAAGAAACGCACGAAGAAATAAGATTTTTTTGAAGATGGGGATATTAGACTAATTTTTATTACATTCATCTTGCTTTGGCACCAGAAGTATTCTTTCTTGTAATTTCCTTTGGAAATTTGGAGGCAGGATGCACGTGCAAGCTACTTTAATTTGGCACGGTGATCAAAGTTAAACCAAAATGGCAATGGAAGGACTGCATGTTAGGCTCCACTCACACTTGTTTTTTTATCCTTGCTATTATAATGGTCCAGGGCCAACCAACTACCCTCCCCAGAATGCTCAACTGAGAAAACTACCCTCCCAAGAATATTCTGATCCTTAGCTTTCTGTTCTTTACTACTAAGTATTTCTAACATCGCAGCAACTTAATTTTTATCTGCCCTTGACTTGTCTGTTCACATTTCGGACCAAAAGCTAGTGAGAAAGCAACCCACTTCTCAGCGATTGCATTCGGTGTATAAAGCTAATATTTTCACACGCGCGAGCGGGCACTCGATGTGACCATATATTCACTTAGAAGGCAAATAAAGAAAATATGTGCAATCAGTCTGGTTAAACGTCTCGCTCGCTTTATCTATGACGAACCCTATTTTCCAATTCTCTACTGATCTTTACCATTTTCATCTCTACAAACATCGAATAATTGGTCACTTTTTGATTTTTTTTTTTATATGTTCCTTTTAAGTGATCTGATCTTATCAATTTGAGGGGGCATATATATGTGTAGTATCAATCAGTATCTATCTGCTTATCTATATGGAAAGTTCAGTATCAAATTAGTGTACAAGGAAGTAAAGCATCGTCTCTCAAGTCTTTCCCTTAACTCGTAAGAAAAATGTACGTCACGTGATTCGAAAAAAAAAATTACGAGAATTCTTCAAGAATATAATGTACGAAAAGGGAAAATAAAATTAATTGATTATCAGCGATCTACAATGCATGAAAGTTAAAGTTTATTGCATTATTCGTCTTTCATTTATTTCTCCTTCCATGTGCATCTCCATGGACAAGAATTTAATGAGAATATATAATGCACTATTGATAGATCTAATTTGGACATCGATCTCTGCAACACACACATGCAGTTCCCAGAACTAGTCATCAAGTTCACCAAAATAGGGAAATCCTCGTGTAGGAGAAAAGTGAAGGAAGCTTGTCAAGAAAACCTAAATAATTTGCCCCATTTTTAATGAAGTTTTTTTCTTGGAACTTTGAAAAGTGGTGGAAGGCTTTAATGAATGATGAGGTGCTGAGAGCAGTGAAGTGACAGGAATGGAAATAATTTGTACCAATAGGGGGACGATTTTCCACGAGCTAGACGCTTATTAGCCCACCTTTACATTAGCAAATATATATAAATTTTTCCCCCTTTAAAATATGTATGTGGGTGGCAACTTTAACGCTCTGCTTTTTCACCTTTTATGTGCGTATCCAAAATGGCTTGGCGACATAAACACAGTCCGCTTCCAGTAACTTTCTAAACCCATTTGGTTTTTACTTGTTTCTGTTAGATTCTTCGTCATTAAGCTAAAGCTAATCTTCCCAAGGAATCTCTGATATCTTGTTCCTAATTAATAAAAAAGGCGAAGTACTACTATAAAAATAAAAGATTTCGACAATATATCTGATTTCCTCCACCACCAGCATGCCACCTGACATTAAAGTTGCATGTAACTGTGTTGATCTGCAGCATTTATTTTTGCCAAAACAAATGACACCCATACGTACATCTGAAACTTAGTTCCTTTTCTGTATTTTTTTCCCCTTCTTTTTAACTTTATTTTTTGGGGACAAATGAACCCTAGCTTTCCGAAAACTTTTGCTTCCATGGACCCCACGGGTTGCTCCTCCTCCATCCTAATTAAATACCCAACTCTGGCTCTCTGGTTCTTCCCTTTTCCCTTCCTTTCCTCTCTCTGGTTCCCTCTTTGAATATAGTAGAGTTCTGCTGCCATAATGCTCTTCCACGAAGACGAAGCGGTCCAGTTCCCATGGCCGGTTCAGGAGACGGCGGTGCTCACGGCTGGGGATATACAGGAGTTGTTGTCCCTCCTCCAATCAGGAGACGAACCAGATCACACGAGCAGCCCAAGCTCCGGTTCGCAAGGGTCCAGCCGGGAGGTTTACTCCAATGACGAGAGGAAGCGCAGGCGGATGCAGTCGAACCGGGAGTCAGCCCGACGATCCCGCTGGAGAAAGAAGAGACATTTAGAGAACCTGAACAGCCAAGTGAACCGCTTCTCAGTCGAAAACCAACAGCTCAAAAACCGGCTAGGCCTGGCCTTGTATCAACTCCGAGTAGCATGCTCAGAGAATGAACGCCTGAGAACCGAATCCGTGGCCCTCATGGCGAGACTTTCTGATCTATATTTGATTTTAGGCTCCGTGCATTCCCAATAGGCGGCGTTGAGCCATGATTATTAACCAGAATATTAACAAAAAGGTATATTATAAGTACGTTCGTGCATGCGTCGTCCACGTTCCCTGGTTCCATATTGTAAAATAAATTAAGCTGTGAACGATGGATCGATGCAATTAAGTAGCTAGATTTATGATGTGATTCACGTAGGAACTGATTGGCGAGTGCATGAAATGTGCTCGATACATTAAATGAGAGAGCAAAATATGGGCGGCTGGTAGCTTGCTACTCGTTTCCTTTCTTTCTGATGAGGAGGAGAAAATAAAGTAGTGTGCTTCGAAAAGCCCCACGTTGTTGGGAGTAAATTAAATGTGTAAAGATTTACGGGTCTGCTTTTTAATCGTGTTGTCCTGTATGCGCCTTTTCTTCTTATTATTATGTTTTTCTTTTTCATGTGTGATAAGCTTAGCTTTGTATAAACGAGGATAATGCTTTGCCTTGATAATTGACGGTGAATGACAAAGAAACCAATAATTCATGGAATGACGGAATCTTCGTGGAATCTCGTTGGTATATATGACACAGGAGTCCTATTCGATGTTAATACGTGGCATCCTCTTATATAAGGGCCAAACCAGGAACGACCATACATGCTTTCTGTTTCTTCCTATTTCTTTGTCTTTGCTTTTGATTTAAAGCGCTCCGAACATAGACTTGACGAAGACCTCAATTAGTGGAAGGGGATGGCTGCCTTCTGATCTCTCTCTCTCTCTCTCTCTCTCTCCCCCCCCCCCCCCCGCGCCAAAGAAAACACAGATAAAAATTAACGAAGTAAAGTTGGAAAAGAACGTCCAGCCAAAAATATCATCTAGGACCCGCGCATGTGAGTGATTCTTTGTTAATCATGTGATAGAAATTACCTTTTTAGCTCACACCACTACTACTGCTCAGATTTAACTACTTTTCACACATTTCAAGAGTTTATATGACATCTCTTGTGCAAAAATATATTATATAATGCTGGTAGATTTTCCTAGACTAGATTTTATATATCTTTTTCATATCTGGTGATCAAACAATATTAATTGTATTGTTTAAATACGATATAGAGCATGCATGATCCTGTCATCATTAAAGTGGGTGTAGTAGTACCAGTTATTTAATTCTATTATATATTTGACTATATATATATGGGTGTAGTAGTACCAGTTATTTAATTCTACTATATATTTGACTATATATATATATATATATGTGTATGTTCGAGAGAACACGGTTACTCTAACAATTCAACTGTTTTTCTTTCGTATCTCTAAATAGATGTCCTTGTAATTATATACATGAAACAAGAGTACGTACTACGAGTTAAAATGTATGCATCATAAATTTATGAAGGAAAAAAAAAATCAGTCACGCACACGCACTAAACATATGATTGTCTTTCAGTGGTTCCAATGATCCCCAAAGGATATTGTCTCGACGTTAAGAATGATAAAAAATACTCATATCCTATGTATGATTCTTCTTCCGTTGGATTTGTGTACAGAATGAAATGAATCTGTATCTATAAAGAGTCTCTGATTATTTGCAGATTGTTTTTTCTCCTCTGGGAGGCTCTCCCAGGGAGTTTTCCATAATCCATTGAACTTTCCCATTCAAGGGTTGCTATAATACTCTTCCGGTCCTTAATATAAGACCCAATTATTGAGTTGGTTTTGGTTCTAAATATAAGACCCATTTCTCATATTTATCAATTTTTTCTAAATTACCCCTATGGATATTCTCTCAACCATAATCAAGTAGGAGAGGAAGAAGAGGTATTAAGAAAGATGATTATGGTATTTTAGGAAAAACGTGTCACATTTACTTATAACTAACTAACTTACATAACTTTCTTAATCCAATCAAATTAGTTAAATGAGTTTTATATTAAAGACCGGAAGAGTATTATTTCCTTCCAAACAAAAAAAAAAAAAACTTCCACCTGTTATTGTTTGTCTCTATGATATATATATATATATATATCATGCTCCACCAAAAGCTTTCCTACGACGACATGGCATTATCTTTCAAGCACATGCTTTCATGCTGCCCACGACTCAGTTTACCAAGAAAAAACAGCAGTAATGAAAAGAGAATCCCTTTGCGTGGTGGCTCAAATAAACCATCCTTGACCTTTATGTGATAATCCTGCTTTTTCTTCATGGGAAAGCCCCCAGGTGAATTCCCCAAAATGGTTTCCTTTTTTCCTTGATAGTTAAGCTTCTTTTTTTTCCCCCTCCAAACTTCTTGATAGTTAAGTTGCTTCTCCTTACTCTCTTTCTGCCTTCACCGACCAATAATTCTCTTACAAATGTAGATGGCGGATGAAATAATACTCCTCCGATCCTTAATATAGGACCTAATTGTTAAGTTGGTTTTGGTCCTAAATATAAGACCCATTTATCATATTTATCAATTTTCTCTAAAGTACCTCTATGGATACTCCCTCAACCATAATCAAGTAGAAGAGGGATATGAGGTATTAAGAAAGATGATTATGGTATTTTAGAAAAAACATGTCACATTTCTTATAATTAACTAACTTACCTAATTTTCTTAATCTAATCAAATTAGTTAAATAGGTCTTATATTAAGAACAGTAGGAGTACTATTCACAACCCCGAGAGAGTAAAGTCAATTAGTTTTTAATCATGACCTTCAGTTGCACTTGCACGTGTCGTTTTGGCTTTAACGATGCATAAGCTGTGAACCAAGAATATTTGGTGCCTACAAATCGGGAAAGCCTATTTAGTGAAATCTCTGCATTGAGATTTGAGATTTCACCCATAAACAGAACCTCATGGGAAGCTCCGACAAGTTCCAAAAAGTATGGTCAAACATGAATATTGGAATGTAAAGACGATATCTTGCGATTCTGATCATCATCTGACGAAACAAATTCATGAACGGGACTTTTTAAATCCAGATTCAAGGAATGCACTTGAATTTAGGTAGAGGGTCATTCTCGGAGGTTCGGAAAAGAAAATGAAATAAAGCAGAAAAGGGTCAGTGTGTGTATTGTAGGATTGATTGGTCCCCCTGCCTGTGCGTGTTGACCATAGTGTTACTTTAGTTCCTGTTTACGCCTCCTGTTTAATTTCGTCCGCTTTCCTCGTAGGCAAGTTCTTAAGAACTCATTAATTACCAGAAAATTTGGTAGTTAGGAAAGCTCGGAGAAAAATGGTGTTCTCTTTTGACCAGCTTTAATAAGGTGGATTAGAAGAGTGGACAATGAATCGAAGGATCACTTAATTCCAGAGAAATAATAATGGCGACAATGATTTGAGAGGGATCAATCTTGTTTGGTATCAGTATTCTTTGTGGGCATGGTATGACCTAACTTTTCCTTTCTTTCCAGCAGATAATGCAACTTTCAGCACTGGATTGATTCACTCGGATCGTGCGTTTGTTTTTCCGACAAAAGACTTTTTCTTTCTCAGTCGACTCAATACTCCCGGTTTCTTCTTTACCCTTTTATTGTCTTTTTCTCTTCGGGTTTGAGAAAATAGAAAGTCTCTATTTAAATGGGAAGAGATTAGGGGACGAGTTGCACACGGGAAATGACTTTGGAGGGCTAAATAACAATGGGCCTAAGGCCCATAAACGCCATTATATAATCCATCATACATGAGAACCTGTCAATGAATATGCCCGTCTTAAGTGGCCCAACTGATTCTCTTGTTTCACCCAAAATGAACTGATGTTTTCGAATAAAATATAACATGCATATAATTCTCAAAAATATTAAAAAAAGAAAAAATTTACTTTTTACTGTTTTATAAAAGAAAACTCAGCAGTGATGAATAATATTCAAGTTTATATGGTTTTCGTGGGGGGAAAAAGTGTCTGTCTCTGCCCCATGAGAAAGTATGATAGGCACCCAATACCATCACCGGAAATATAAAATTTGAACACCACGAGAACTGAGGAATCATATGAACTGTTATAAATTAATCAATTATATCATGAACATCATAATGTTTTTGCACTTCACAAAAAAAAAAAAAACCCGACAATAAAAATGAAACGTGTTAAAGGAGTGCGCCTGTAAAACACCATGGATAGTTAATGGGTCACCAACATGTACTGTCATACTTTGAAATGCATCCATCAAACAACAGTTTCTCATCAGTTTCTATCAGAACAGTCAAAATCTCCTTTGATACTAGTTCACCAAGAAACAATAACTAGACAGCAAACGTCAACAATACAATTAAGTTCACATCGGGGAGGAAGCCACTTTCTCAGGAAAACCTTTCCGGAAAAATCAATGGAATTTAAGCCCAGAAATATCCTGTCTGAGAAACTCTCACGTTTGAATGAAGCTGGGAAGCTGAGGAATTTCCACCATGAAAACAACGTTATACCAAACCCTATCATGTTTATATAAAACGCCGACATTATCCAACAACTACCCGCCATTATACAGTAGAATCAACATAGTGGGGCTGTGCTGCCTGCTTTTTGCATTCTATTAATTAGTATATATAATTGGACTTACTTTGATCATCATCCCAATTTTAATCTCATCAGATCAAATCCCCTTTTGTCATACTTAAAAAGACGAAACCCACGTTTTGTGGTGCTCACATTGCTTTTCCATTTTCTTTTCCCTCCATGTTCCCCACCCATTACCTCAGTCAAGTCACAGTGGTTCCCCAAAAATGTTTCCCTTTTGCTTTTCCCAATTCCCTTTTTCATCTTTGTTTTCTTTTTTCGCTACACTACATATCCTCCACCCTCCTCAATTATGCAGGATTACAAAATGTTTGAATCATACAGTTATTAATGTGAAAATCTACACTACAAATCGAGAAGACTCAAATGACATTATAGTTATGTACGCTAGTGTTAGAAGAGAATGAGATGGATTGGGACTTGGGAGAGGGAAATAGGAAAAGTTTAGGGATGGAATATAAGGTCACTGTAAAGACACACACACATATATGAAAAAGGCAAGCTTCTGATTTGGTGAGAGATTCGAATTTTAAAATATGAGATTTGACGACAAAAAATGGGTGGGAATTAGGCATGGGGGGGGGGGGGAGGGCGTCTCTTTATGAAGAAGACACCAATTAATTATTCAATGGCCACAACATCAACATCAGGTCAAATTGTGTCTGCAACTACATTCCAATCAATCACCAACATATTGTCAATTTTGACATACATGGTGGCGTTCTTTTCTCAAAATAATGACAAATTTACAGGGGCCTTTATTAGAGAGTGAAACGTGTCCTCAACAACATATGGAAACAACCACTGTCTTAGAATACCACATATCTATAATCATGGGACCAATGTCCTAATGTTCATGAACACACATGTACGAGACAGCCAACAGCTTAACTTAAATCCATATGAACTAGAGAGTGTCTGGGTAATAAATTTCCCTAACTGCCACATACCTCGTCTATCCCTAATATATTCCTGCTTCTGCACATCTTCACGCACTCAATTAACTTCCTTCAACCTACTCTCTCCTTCCATGGCTTCTGCAACTTCCATACACCAGAGAAGACTGCGAGAATTCCTCAAGGAGCAACAGGAACCTTTCATCCTCAACAATTACCTTTCTGAAAGAGGCTGCTCCAGAACTTGGTGCCTGCAGAGATCAGCCAATTCTTGCCTCAATATAAATGCAAAGCTTCAGTTTTCCAGAGTTCTTGCATCTCTGTGTAAGAAGCTTGCTTTGCACAACGAAAGCAGCAACGTTATGGCTGAGAGGCCTGCAGCCAGAAATGAAGATCTTGTTGTTCGTGAAACTCCTACGATTGGTGAGATTGTCGTGGAAACAGAAAGGTCTTCATCCTCTAGCAGCTCAACTCTGTTCTACTCTTGCTCAGAGGTTGATGAAGACGAGAGTTCGTTTTCTTCAGATAACTTCCAAGCGTCAAATGTATGCCCTACTGGTATGCAGAGGTACTAATTACTCAAATTTGATGCGAATTTTTTCTGGTTCTGTGATATTCAAATATAAGTTGAAACTCAAATTTGATTACTCTTGCAAAGCCAACAGGCTACTAACAATGGAAAACACCGCTGGAGATGCATAGGCCCTGCCTCACTCGGCAAAGTTCCTTCACGCAGAGCTTCAGCATCTCAAAATGGCAAGTCTCATTAACTGATTGCTTTCGTCAACTCTGTATTTCTTTATTCTCCCTCTGTGGTTTGGTTTTTATCTTTCTTTGCTCTCAACGTCGCCTCGATTTGTTTAGCAGAGGTAGTAGTTAATCAGGAAGTCAGGAAAATAGAGAAGAAAATACATAGTTGCAGTGTCCCACTGCCCAAGAAAATGAGAGAAGAGTCAATTTCATCAGCTGCAAGCTGGGGATTGCTGATGCAGTCAGTTAAGAGAGAACGGGGTTCAAGGAAAGTAAGAGATAATGTCGCTCCTAGTGTTTCCCAAGGATTCAAATCTATAAGGGTACTGCAGAAGACAAAGCAACTGCTTTTTCATTGTGCGAGAGAAACACTTGCGAAGAAGGACAAGGGAGAACAATGTCACAATAAGGAACTGGGGAAGTTCATTTGTAAGAGAACAACCAGATGGGGTCAACGAAGCAGACATGGGAGGGGCCTGACCTGCTTGTTCTCTTTGGATGACTTGAATTCCGTATACGAATGGGGTGATTTGGAGCCACATGCGAACGATATTATCCTACAAATTGGTGATGCCATTTTGGAATCCATCAGCAACGAAATTGTATCAGAATTTATTGAATATTAACCACTCCCATAGGCAGTACGAAGCATGAGCATACTTTCGGTTATAATTGCTCGGTTCGTCCGAGTCTTAGTGAAATTTTTTAAATTACAAGAGGGTAGGCTCGAACCTGCAACACACACCCCACACACGTACACACACTACTCGGCTAAGTGACCAGTGGTCTTAGTAAAATTTTTTAAGGGGGCAAAAAAAGATATTAACGAACAATAAATGCTTACATTAGGTTAAGTATCCAAGCGTCCTTCACCTTCTATATGCTTCCTTGTGTGTTTGACCTTCATTTGGGACAAGAGAATCCAAGAAACCCTAACTTCAGAATTTTGGGTTTGCGGAATCATTATTCGTATTTAAAATATACCATCTTTGAGTAAAAATTTTGAACCATTTTTCAGCAAAAATGGCCGCCATTAAAAGCAGAGCCAGGTGTGGAAAGAGCCCCCAAAATATCAAATAAGGAATGAGTCTAACGATAACACTACACACTTATCTAATGCATATGACTTCTCTCAACAATAGAAACAACATTTAGTATGCTCGAATATTTTATAAAATTATTAGAATTCCAAATTTAGCTATAAAACTGGTTACTGCTAGTTCTTTAATGCTAACAAATTGTTATAACACATTGAAATATTTTAAATGAAATTAACTGAAAATCTAAAATTTATAATTAATTAATTAATTGAAAAACTTAAAATTAGCAATTAAATTTTCTGTTCGTATTGACTATTTCAAGTTCTAAACTTGAGATTGTAACTGTTAAAATTTTAAATAATTGTAACTGAAAATATATTTCCATTATCAACTAACTGATTAACGATTAAATTCATTCGTATTGTTTCATTAAAACTTTAAAGGCTACGTTCGGTAGTTACGTATTGAGAAGCTTTGATGATTTTGACTTTGATAGAGAGGAAGCATAAAATGAAAAGAAAATATATCTTTAATGTAAAACTAAAGATTTTAAAAAAAAAATTCAAAAGCATTAAATATTATTATGTTAGATTCGTGAAATATTTAATTTTTATCAATAAACTAAATGAATCATATTTATAATTAATTTTGAGACCAAAAAAAAATGAACGAGCAAGAAATCTATGATAGTCTTTGATGATTGGCTTACAATTGTCTAGCACTCTCAACACAGTTACAGTGAAAAGAGCATGGGCAAGGATCAAAATATCCTTTTCTATTGCTGAAGATGCAAGGGATGATCCAACAATTAGTGTGTCACGGAAAAGATTTTTTTTCCTTCAAAAAAGCATATATTAATTATGGAAGTTAAACATTCTCAGAGATGCAGATCAGTTTCTTTAATCTCACCTATGAAGAAAGGATTAACAACGCACTAATCGGACTCCCCATCTTCACCGAGCTCACCATCTTCAAGTTCCACGTGCCCACTGGTCTTCCTGTAACCATCCCGGTGATCCCTCTTGTGTCTTTTATGCCGAGTTTCATTTTCTGATTCAGGTGAGTTTGCATGCTGCAAAGTAGGTAAATATTTCCACCCCATTTCATATCATGTTCTCCATATATTAGGAACACAACGCAGCAAAAATCATTATATATGACATACCTTCCTGGACTTTTTACGGTCACTGCCATGTCTTCGTGATTTCTTTGACTCCTCCTTATCAGCCTTTTCAGAATCTGCATCCTCTGCGCTACTTTGGTGCCTCTTTCGATGTTTCCTTTCTTTATCCTTTTCTTTTTTCTTGTCCTCCTTGTAACCATGACTGTCACTTATGTCTAGATTCTCACTATCAGTTTCGTCCTTCTTATGTCGTTCCTTGCTCTCACGTTCCCTTTCCTTATCTTTCTTCTCCTTCTCCTTCTCTCTCTTTCCGTTTCTCTTTCTCTTCTCTTTCTTTCTCTTTCTTAGCCTGCAGATAGTTAAGCTATTCATTAAAAATATGTTCAGACCCCGACACAAGGCAAAGAACATGGGTAAAGAAGGCCCCAGTTCCTGCGCAACCTTAAACCACGAAACACCAATTTTTGTACCAATAATTATGATCATCAATGCGATAGCCCAAAAGCAGTCTTCAATAAAATTAGTTTTAACAAGAAGCAAACAAGTGGATAACATGAAACCAAATGCATAGACAGATATAGAATATTTACGCACCTTTTCCTCTTCACGCTTGCGTTCCTTCTCTTTGGCCTTTTCCTTCAAGTATGCAATGTATTCCTCAAAAATCTCTCTACCGGAGCTCTCATCACCAATTGACCTATGGAAGGCAGTTTACATAAAAGAAAGTTCTCCCCTCGTGACAGTTCACACAGTAAGTATGCACCAAGTACTTGAAATAGATAAGTTACCTGTACTCTTGCGCCTCCTCGAAGAGTGGCTTGCAATCCTCCCATTTGGAAGAAGCAGTAATATCCTACAAAAGATATGAGGCTCAATAGCGATCTCTTTATCAAATGGGCTCACAGAAAAACTTTTGCCTTACCTTGAATGTATATAACAGCTTAGTAAATTCATCAGCAAGGCGTTGACGCTTCTTAGCTTCCTTCTCCTCCTTTTCCTTAGCTCTCTCCAATAACTCTTCATATATAAGCTTCATATGGAAATAAAGAATCAGATTCCAATCAAAACATGTATTCATAGGCACATAGCTTGTATCACGTGACATTACATCAACACCCCCACACACATCTGTGCACGCAGGGGTCTGTAATTTGTATTTCACCATATTTAATTAATTCATCATCTTTGATACGAGAAATATAAATCTGAAATCAATGCCTCAAGGTTGATAACAAACCACTCCAATTTTATGTCTGTTCTCCATTTTTTACAGCTAAAAAAGCTCGTTAGAGACCTCAAAACTGAAGAACATATCTTCAGTACTGCCCTCCCGCAAGTTTAAGCAGGAAATCAAGGTAGCATGCTTACACTGAGCTCAATTTGAGTAAACTACTCCCACAATTAAGTAGTCCACAAGTCAGATGCAAAACAGAAATCAAAAGAGTTTAACGAAAATTACCTTCAGATTAATGTCAGACATTGATGGAGGATCAACCTCTTCCAAGACAGCAGCCTTAAAGTCCTCAAATACGGTTGTCGTATCTACGGCAATCTGTTTGAAAGGGGCATGACATCAAACACAAATTACTGGTAAAACACAAGAAAGAGTCCCGAAATATCTACCTTGCCTGACTTCACTGCATCTTTAACCCGTGTCTTATCTTCATGATACTGTCAACAAAACATATATATTAGAAATAGAAATAGACTATCACTAGTGGTACTGTCACCCTTGCAAAATAAAGCATGTTAAAATTTCACAAACTAGATTCAGTCGGTCAAGTCATCAAGAAAAAGAACTGCACGTTAATTGTATGATAAACTTCAAATTTAGTAATTCATTACTCAATATCACATAAGAAACATTCAATCAAGATTGCAGAATATAAACTGATCTTACTTTTTCAAACCTGGTTTTAAGTCATTCCAAGGCTAAGCCAAAATTCAACTCAAAAAGATAAACGAACAGAATTTACTTCGTTTGCTATCATCTGGTGTAAACTCTCAAAATAAACATTTAGCACGTAATTAAATCATTATTTTAATAAAATGACGGGTCCTCTGGCTGAAGAAAGGTTACCGCAACAAATAACAAGACAACAACTAGCATAGAGCACAATAAATCTGTTAGTTTACAACAACTTTCAAACAAACTTGAAATGACAATTTTGTGACCTTTTGTGCTAGATCCTCAACAACATCTTCAAATAAATCTTTTGGAGTTGAACCAGATGTGTTTGAAGCAACAGCTTGATATTGAGGCAAATCCTTGACCTATGAAATAGAGAACAGAAGGATATGAATTCCATCATGTATTACCATTCTTATGACAAAAAAATGAAAGTTGCATTACCTTTATGCAATATTCTCGCCAGTGTGTTTTAGCAGTAAGAGTTCCAGAAGCAACGTGTTCTTCCAATAACTTCCGAAATGCATCACGGTTTTTCCTTTCAGACCGCCGGAGTTGATCCTATTTTATGGTCATTAAAGAAATATAAGAATATCAACAGAAACAACATCAATAAGCATCACTTAGATTTTACCTTTTGTATTTTTTTCAGCTCCTCTTCTTCCTTTTCCAAATCACGAATGTAATCCTGCCACAACATATATGAGCATACAGATCCTTTAAACATGTCTAAAAATAAAATAAGGAAATATACTTGGAAAACAAGCAAGCGATCTATCTTTTCAAGACGCAAGCATCTTTCATCATCCTCTAACCGATCTTGGACCTTCCGCCACTGACTATACACCTACAACAAAACATAAACCACAAGGTAAGGGTTCAAGAATAGACTAATTGTGACAGTAGATGAGAACAACTTCAATTTGACAAATTTAACTCCACAAGTTCCTCTTCCCCAACCAAAAACAAAAAATACCTTCACAAAATCACAGGATTCTAGAAATTTCCTGAATTCTGCAATATTCCGCCTATGTTCCTCGGCAGCTTGTTCCTTTTCCTAAATTAATTAAATTTAGATAAATAAGAGTTAGAATGGCCATGATTTGAAGAATCAGATCATCCAGCTGGCTTCTGTGGATTCCACATAGAAGATTAACAGTTGCTCAGTTACATGATAACAAGCTTACATGAAGAAAATAAGCTACATAGTGTTAAAAGCTAAATGATAGAGATGTTAAATGGCCATTGCTCTGGTACCACTAAAAATCTAGCTACTACCAGTAATGATCCAGCTCTGTAGCAAGATGAACAGATTGCCTAGATCTGTCTCTGCTCACAGTCACAGTGATCAGTAGTCTCCACAGTCCTCAAATAAAGCATAAGAGTATCAAGATTACCAGGGAAGTGGTAGACTAGCAGACAACTACCCTTAAAAATTTCCTCAGTTTCCACTTCAATCAAAAACAACATTCATCCCTTCTCTGCCAGGAGAAGTTCATCTGTTCAACTTCAAGAAATCCCAGACTAAGAACTATCTTCTCCATCTGAGAGAGTAATCACAGCCACTATAAGCAATTCATGAAATATAAACGTGGCCCTGATGGAACTTTGATTTCTCCTGTCCATCTAGACACCCCTGAGGTGATAAGAGATGACCACTGATGGTGACCCATAGTAGGAAGAACAAATGTGCTAGAGGGGCTGACATGGTCGACACAGAAGGCAAAGAGAGCAGTTCACCCAATAACTCATCATCATCAGTAACTTCCACACTAACAAACGGCATATAGGATGCACTTTACCCCTTAAATCAGTTATGTAGTTGGTGAAGTTCAGTTATGTATTTGTTTTGCAGCCGTAGTTATCCCTTACTTTCTAGTCTAAATATCAGTAGGAGTCTAGTACAAGCAGGGATCATTGAATTCACAACTTATACCCGGAGATCCTATAGGCTTCATCAGTATGAAAGTTTAATATTCTTGCTCATGTTCCAGTAAAGATTTACCTTATCTCACACATCATCTCCTGCCCTTCTCATTTGGTTTCTACCCTAACATATGGTAAGTATAATCCCATCACCAACAATTACCAACAGGTGGCAAGATTCTTTCAAAATAAATGGACTACTAAAAAGTTTGTTTATCCAACCTCCTTGAATACAAGATCCAAACAAGCATGAAATTATCCACAAAAATTAATATAATAGCAGAAAGGGATATTCTTGCCTTCCTCTCAAGTTCCACCATGTAGCTTTCATATAGATCTTCCCGGTCTCTAGGTCGTTCAACAGCCTTGAATCTTTCATCGTTCTCAAACATAGTTGCAGCTTTACTGATCACAGAAAATCACTAATAAGAACAAGATGCATCTTGCAGTTACATGGAGAAGCTTAGACAGAAGAGCAAATTAATCAACTAAAATTAAGCTCCAAATTAAACGAAGACATGCCTCCATCTAGTAGATGATGTAAGCTCCTTGCACTCCTGAAAAAAGATATACAGAATCAAATAATAGAAGCACAAAGTAATAATGTATTTGTTATGCAATAAGAACCGTTCAACATACTTCCAGCATCTTTGAAAATTCTTCTCGAGCCTTTTTCTGCCTCATACGCCTCTCTTCAGCCTCTAGCTTCTTCCTTTGGCCCAAGTACTGAATGAAAGATCAAATCGATTCAAAATCAGAAAGCCAGATAAAGCCATTAATGCACAAAATTGAAATTGACTTGCTGCTGTATTGCAGCACAAAACCAATCAACTAGATACAAACTGAAAATCATACAAGTTAATGAACACAATCTGCAATGGAGGGCTTGTTTCTCACCTCATTAAAAGCTTGCTTACGCTCACCTAGTGTTTTTAGAGCATTATATCGTTTGTCATTGATGATCTCTCTCATTGTCTGGATCAAAATTCAAAAAATGATCAGCATTTACAGCACAAAAGACTGGCCCGGGGGGGGGTGCGCACCAACCTACCTGTTCCCATGTCCAATCAGATTGAACATTTGCAGATTCTAGAAGAGCTTTGAATGCATTTTTTGCTTCCTAAAGAGGAAATAAGACAAAATAAGGATGCTATGTTTCCCAAATTTGATTAAAAATTCAATCTATCTATAAGATATTGAATTCTTACCAACTTATTTGCATATACCAAGGGTTCTTCATCATTTGCTTTCTCTTCAGGTGGATTAACATTGATTTTTCCAGCTACAGCCATTCCTTTTTTGGCTTCCTGTGAGAGTTGCAAGATGTTAAGATGCCTGGCAAATCTAATTTAGTAATAATCTGTCAAGCTACTCATATTTTCTCAAGATCATTGGCTTGTGTCCTCTTATCAGTGCATGTGTTGTGGAATTTAGGTTTTTTTTTTTTTTTTTTGTGGGCGGGGGGAGGTTGTGGGAGAATGTTATCTAAATCCATAACTACAAAGCAGCAAGTTATTTATGAACGTCTATGCCAAAGGTTTACTATGCATGAAGGGTGTCTCCAGACTGATCAAGCTTTTTCAATAATTAACAACCCGACATTTCAGAACAATGTAAAATGAATAATACCTCCATATCCTGAAGAGAAGCCCCATTTGTGGAAGTGACTGCATCCTGAAATGCTTGGTTTTCATTACTGTTCAGTTAAAATTCAATGTATAAATCAGCTATGAAGCAATAATGTGATCATAGAAAGACTAGAATATCAGGGGGGAAAAAATCACAGAGGATGTTGGTACGTGGGCAAAGCATTAGAATCATGCGGACTCGCAGCTATTCCTGATCTTCTTGCAACTGCTGTAGGTGCAGCATTCAAATCTGCCACCATACTTGGTTCAACCCCACTGGCACTAGAAGAAATTGTAGGAGGGATTGCAGCCAAATGGGGAGGATCAGTTGTAGCACCCACTGGAGTGACAGGAACTGGGCTAGTAACAATCCCGGATGGTGTCAAAGAAGTATTGGAGCCAGCAGCATTAGTAGTTGTGGGTGCTGCAGTTGCGGCCATGGAGCCATCAGCAGCATTGGATGTGTTATTTGTTTCTGACTTCACTCCTGAGTTACTGGCTTTTTGGGCCTGTTCACGAGCCAACTGGCAGGAAATTTTGCATTTCATAGTCAGATACGATGCAGCCTGCTTTAAGTCTAGACATCAATAACAAGGATAATCAGTTAATCACAAACCTTTAATTCTTCTGGTATGGTCCAAGTAGACTGCTGTGTGACCTTGTTGTAGTAGTATCTACAAGAAGTCAAGCCAAAAATATGAGCCATAAGGTCAGCGATTACAAACAGATGCCACAGGAAAGGCACAGCTAAAAGTTGAAGAACAAGAATGTCTCAGATAAATATAGAAGATAGAATTATAAAAGAAATGAGGTGAAACGCACTTTCTTCCCTCGGGAGAAGTAAACTCTTTCCAAACAGTTGAAGCATCTGCCCTCTGTCACATCAAGCAGATATTGAGGTAGGAAAGATTACACAGTTAAAGAAAAAAGGATCAGACAAAAATAAAGTATTATAAGTTCACTATAACAGAAATAGAAACCAAACGTAAGCACAATGCTGCAAGAGAAAAAGGAACAAGTTGGCCGAACAAAATTAGGAAGAAAAATGTAGAGTTATTTACTATCAAACGATAATATTGCCAATACCAGCAATCATAACGAACAATGAATAATGCCACGAACCATAATCTTAGCATATCTATTTACAAGAAAATCAATAATTCACTGAATCTAAATAGAAATCATAACACGGAAAATATATATATATATAGTGAAATGAAGGAAGAAAAACGAGATGAATGTACTACCAAACACCAATTTCACATTTAATAAAGAAAAATGGAGTGTAAATAGCAAACTATTGCCTGCCTCGAGAAAGTGCAAACCTTCACAGTGACCATATAGAGCAGTTGTTAAAATTTCTCCTGACTTGCCATGATATCTACAAATCAGTGGAAGCACATGCATATAAAAGGAGAATTCACGTAAAATTCATTTGTTCATTCAAAGCATTGAAGAATTTGTCAACATCCATACTAGAAATTAGATTGATAGACCACAAAACAATTAGACCACATGCGGAACATTTCGCTTTTTCTAAACAGTATCAAATATCAGCAACAGTGACAAAGCACCGAATCCCACCTCAATAGGCGACATAAGTTCCAAAGGTTTCTCCCAACTAGACTGTCTTGTCCTCTTGTTGTAGTAATATCTGGAAATATTGAAAGAACAAAAATATTTATGATTGCTTGCAATGACATGAAATACAAAAGCACCAGTTAGTTAACAAATCCTAGTGATCAAGAATAGATAATAGAAGGTAATGATATTGGACGATAGCAAGATTTAAATAACGAAAAGGTAGTAAAATTCAAAAGATTATATTAACTAATACCTTCTCCCGTCAGCTGAAGTATGCTCTTGCCAATCAGATGATGAATTCTGGCTAGGGCCATTTGTTGCCTAAAATTTGGCAGCACAAAAAAAAAAAAAAAAAATCACACTCAAATGTTATATGAGTCACAGAAGTATTATACTAAAAATCAAGAGAAAAGTATTTCACAGGCAGACAAGAAATGTAATTAGTTGAATTCCATGTATATCCTATCATCTAAAACACCTCTATGTGTTGTTGAGATTCAACTAGCTCAAGCTCACAGTACCTGCCTCACATGGTGTGACAACAAGAGTGCCAATATGTGTGTGTGTGTGTGTGTGTATTATACCATCAACATTCTTAAAGTTCATCTACAACAGTTGATTATAATTTCTTCAAACGCTCTAGACCAATAAATTTGCACCTATCTGAGTCAACCGTATCCAGATGATTCAGAGATCTCAAATATCGATCAAATTAGTCATTAGATTAACCATCACAGAACTCAAAATAAGTAAAGAGAATAAGAAATTCTTCATGATTTTTCTAAAGTTACACCAGAAAGCTAAAAACTATTTACAAGCATAAAATCATGTAATTCTGACACAAACACATCAGTGCTAAAGCCATATCATTAAAATATATTAATGCAGTTATCATTCAAGTGACAAATATTCAAAAGCCGCATAGAAGATGGGACAGACCAAGCACTTAAAAACACTAAAACAGAACACTATATTAACAAAGTGAGGTTTATAAAGGAGCAGTGTGCATTTAAAAAAAAAAAAACACTATTGAAAGCCACCAAAAAGGGAAACTTACAGTATCCACTGATGTAGTACCAGATGAATGTAATCCAGTCTGCTGCACTGGTGGTACTGTTGTAGTGCTCTGAGATGCAGAGAACATCCAAGGTTGTCCTCCAGTAGGCGCATTCACCTGATGAGGAGCCTGGTATGGAGCCACTGAATTAGAATTATCTTGTTGCTGGCCATAAGATGGCGTGAACTGAAAGTGAAAAACAATGTCAAATGAGTTAGGAATGTATAAATAAACTAAAAAATTCAGACAAAAAAACAAAAATAAGAGAATTATATGGCAACCATACAGCATATGAAGAATGTGGAGGTGCTCCAGAAACAGCCAACCCAGGCATATGATTGCCTAAATGGGAAACAGTTTGCTGCGATTGTAGTAGAGCAGATGTCGGCGGCCTGCTTGTCTGAATATATGGTGCAGGATGAGTAGGCTGAATTGGTCTAAGATTCAATTGTTGCATAGGTTGAGAATACTGCAAGTGCTGGCTTTGAACAAGAGGCATCCCAACATTTGAAGAAGAAATACCTTGTCCGACAGATCCAAATTGTTGTGAAGCTGTCGGTGCAAATTGTTGCCCTTGCTGGGCTGGCATCACCGGCCGAAACTGCAGAAGGAGTTGTAAGAGTGATTGCAAAAAATTCTTACAGGAGAAGAACTAACAGGAGTGGTTAAAATGTACAGAAGAAGAAATTACTTGCATAGATAAGGATGAACCAAAACTTTGAGGACCAAAGGATCCAACTGCTGTAGGTGGCAGAGGCTAATCCAAAGATAGATTGATAGATATAAGAAAGAAAGGGATAGATGCAGGGAGGAAGGCACAAAGAGGAAATATATCGAGAGAACCATCATGTGCATTTATAAATTGTAGTAAGTAATAGAGGAAAACAGAGAAACATCTTGGATAATTAGCATTTAAAATAGCATAAAAGGCAAATATTGGAGAAGAAATTTGAACGCAAAATTTGAGTGCATATCCCAATGTCATCATTAATTGTAACGTAGATGTTAGAATTAATAAAAGAAATTGATGGTTATATTATACAGTGACAAGAAAATCAACATGAACTGAACAGTAAGACTCATCACCATGGATTTATTACGCCATTGTGCATGGACAAAACTCATAAAATTCAACACTACCAGTAAATATAGCAAAGGTCAGGGAGCCCGATGTTACCTGCATACTGGGGGGCTGAGAATTATTCGCCATTTAACATAGATTACCCTGCAAAGTGCCAACAGCAGCGTAAATTAACGTGTAAATTTAAATAAATATATTTTCCCCCTTCACCACTTTATACAAATCTTGCTCACTATACAATTCCTTTAGATACGTTTTATGATTTATTTATTTTAGGGGCCTTGATTACGCATGTGACTGACCAGCACGAGTTCTAATGGCGCCATCCAAATTAAATTACCTACGGCCCACGAATATGGAACGAAATGTTAAATTAAAGCAAATAGACTCCCACAATGACTAATGGCAAATATAGGTTGAGGACTGATAGATCGAACAAAGCTAAAAAATTTCTCCATCTTCTACTTCTTTGAGGACCTTGACCTTAGCCAGGAAACTTCCGGGACCACAATCCACATCGTCTCAATGTTATAGATATAAGAGAAGCTTAACATTGATGCAATGAAAAGACGCCAATTCCAGTATGAATAAGTTAAATTAAATACTAGGATAGAAAAGAAGACTGGATCAAGAGCCAGGAAGATAATATATTCGTGACCTTGGCGAACTCACCTGTGTTAGGGTTTTAAGAGGGTTTGAAGCGTCCAGACTCCGGCCACGAAAGCGAACGAAAACAGTGAAGACCGACTCGCAGGGTCAGAGCACAGAGACGTGAACGGATGACTCAAATTAAAAAGCATTTATTTGGGAATGGCGTCCATGTGTTGTACTAATATTTACGCTGATGCCACGGTCATGCATGCTCGCTTATCAATTGATCAGTATTTTTTTTCACAATCCAAAAACCTACTTCTTCAATCTTTAATATAAAATTTATTTAATTAATTTAATTAGTTTAAAAAAATTAGATAAGTTAACTAATTATAAAAAATATGACATGTTTTTTTTTAAAATATCACAATCATTTTTCTTAATATCTTCCTTCCCTTTTATACTTAATTATGGTTGAGGGAGTATTCATAGGGGTAATTTGAAAAAAATTGATACATATGATAAATATGTCTTATACCTACGACCGGAAGAGTATTTTTTTTTAAAAAAACTTACAATTAATAGATTGTATTTATTTTGAATTATGTAACTATTAAAAAATATTTTTTAAAAACAAAAATATTAAATATTAAATCTCTGCCGCCATGTTAAATTTGAATGATTGAGGTTTGTGCTTATCACTGCGGGGGTGTTTGGGTTCCAATCCAAACCTTGGTTTGGGGACTCAAACCATGGTTTGGGAAAAAATCTCTCAAACACCTTTATAAAAACCAAAACCATGGTTTTAGGGAAAAGTAAAAAATTTTTGCTTTTGGAAAAAAAAAGAGGAGAGTATGAGAGCCTATAGGATATGTATCTTGTTGTTTTTTTTTATAAATATATTTAATCTTATATCTTATAAATATATATACATATTAATTATTTATTAATTATATTATCTTATGTATTATTAATTATGTTAATAAAAAATATATTATTAACAATTTTATTCCTTTAAATTAAAATATATCATAAAATATATTTTTCTGTAAGTATCATATTAACTTATGCCTTTTTTAGTAATTTGTACATGTAAAAAGTACTTCTGGTAACAATTATCCAAACACTCTCACTTCTCAGAATCACTTTTTCACAAAATCTATTCTTCAAAAAATTTATTCTCCCAGAATCTATTCTCTAGAAGCTATTCTCCAAACCATGTTTGATTATATCCAAACACCCCTTACAATGGAAACTGATTCTAGAAAGAGAGCGGATAATGAGAAGATATAATAGACTTGAATGCAATATGTAATGATTAATAACACACTTTCTCATTCACAAAAGTAATACGAACAAATAAAAGCATTCATATTGAGGGTTGAAATAAAGCAGTGATTAAAGGAAGAAAAAGGAATATCACAAAAAAAAAAAAAGGAAAGCCCGAAAGATTAGGAAAGAAGAAGAAGACTAGGAGAGGAAGCTTGCGATACCACGAGGCAAGAACGTAGCAAAGTCAACACCAACTAAATTCCTCCCCGTCTCACAGGGCTACTTCGATCACAAAGACTATCTGGCGGGCTTAGTAATTTTTTAATGATTTATCTTTCTTTTACCGAGGTTATGACTTAAACATACCATCTCCATTTGTAAAACGAGGTCTTATAATCAGGGTTGAAGATATTATGTTACAACGTCTCAAGTTTACATCTCTTTAACCTGTCTTCCAATTAACTATTATATATGCGATTCATGGAAGATGCATTTCAACCTCTAAATACTCTCTTGCGATGACAAGCTATGCTGATTGGATTAGGTTGTTAAAATCTCACAAATTTTTCGAGTCATCATAACTATATACAATATACTATCTCCAGTTCTAATTATAAGAGCCAGTTGACTAATTTGAGAAGATTAAGAAAGTAAGTTGAGTTAGTTATTTGTCCTAAATAGATATTATCTTTCTTAAAATATCCTTGCTAATCAAGCGTATTGACTAGAATTATCATTGTTAGAGTGACTACTTTGAAAAAAAAATATAAATATGAGAGACAAAGTGAACCGGGATCTTATATTTAGACCAAAATAAAAATCAAACAGGGTCTTATATTAAGAACAAGAGAGGTAGTAATTACTCAAGGATAAAGGAAAATAATCCAAAGATGGAAGGATTATTTGGTTCTCAACTTATTATGGTTCTCGCGCGTGTGCAAATGAATATGGTTCTCCATCCTCAAGAAATTAAAAAGACCATGTCAGAGAAACGCTGAATATTTTAGTTGTGATTTTCACTGAGAGAGGGGGTCGCTTTTCCTGGACTCCCTGCTGGAGACACAGACATTAGTGTTGTACCAATTTGACGAGGCATGATAAATTCAAGGCACGCATATGCAGTGGAAGGAAGTAGACTGCATATATAGCGGCACGAAATGAAATATTAGCATCACAGACCTAACCTGGCAGTTGAACTGACACGTAATGGAAGCTAATTAGAAGCACATGTAAGTTACAAACATATATATCACGAGTGCACTCACATCACACTACAGCTTCAAGATTAATTACACTAATCAAACCATTCTGCTAATTTGAAGTCCTGTAACAGGCATGGCCAGAGCAACAAGGAAGAACATGTATATACTTGGTTATGTTGGACCAATGGAAGCTTCTTTTACCAGAAGTTGCGGACGTGGTCGATGGTAGCTTTAAGGGGCTTTGAGTGCAATTCCTGTAAGCTTTAAGGAAAGGGTCATCTTCCTTCTGATGATTCTCTTTCACCTGAACGGCACAGAAAATCAGCGGTGGAGCCTCCTGCTTGTCATCCACTCCTCGTATTAATGAGCATGGAGGAGGCGATAGCATAGATTGAGTAATGTGCCTAGCTGCGTCTTTCTTGGACCGTTGGCGAGCAGCAACCTTGGAGAGACCAGGCTTGTACTCCCATGAGAAGGGCACATTAACCGGAGAGCAGTATACCTCGTTACAGCCATAACTTCTGATGCTGTACTTCTTCCTCAGCATCATCAATGTGGTGGGGTGCATCATCAGTTGCTCACTCTGCTTCAACTGATACAATTCTAACTAATTGATGATTATGGGTTCGTGCTTCTTAAGGATGGTAGCTATATATGTCACGAGCTTCACGATTTTAACCGTTGAATAATCCCACAATCTGGTAGATTATTGACTTGGCTTGTATGTTAATCCATGGAAACATAACATCCTAGTGAGACGTGAGACGAAAATATATGAAATTGAGGAAGCGTAGAAACTGGAACTCTTGCTCGATTTACAGCTAGCGCTAGCCAGCTTCCATCTGTTAGACTAAAAATATTGATTGGACTTGCCTCCTTGTCCTTCCTCATATAAGTAGATAAATAGGTATGTAGGTTGTTAAAAAAGTTTAGTTTGATCCGTACGCAGTTGAACAATTACAGGAAGATTAATAACGAAGAAATGAATGGTAAATAGGGATACATATATATATGTATGTACATATATAACAATGATCTTTACATCAAACGATGTACTTTAATTCTCTCGTGGTTGAAAAAGGCTGAATATTGGCATTGTTTAAAATAGTTTCCACGATATTGGTTAAAGAGGAGTTTTCGCATCCAATGATTGATGTTGATGATCTTGTCTTGTGGCTGTAGTTGATTATTTCTTACGGGAAGAAGTTTGTTTTGTGAAGAAACGTTGTGATAGGTATGTTACATTTTACTTTGGTATTTTCTTCAAATACTGTTGCAGGTTGTAAAATTTGTGAAGTTATGCCATCGTTGTCGAGGGGCAGCTAGTAAAGATACAAATCAAGGGGGCCAAATAATCAGTTTCTGTCATTTCGATTCGGACAGAGAAAATCGGTCCGCCAGTTGCTGGCAGAAATCTATAGTTTTTTTCGTCAACATTAATTCAGAGTACAAATTTGTTCGGAGTTAGTTTTTAGCTTGATATCGATCGGTGAATGAATCTTGTTTATATATATATGAGGCGATGATATTGACATCTGACCTCGTCTTTTTAAACTGCATTTTGATTTCCGATGAGCCCAATGTTGCTTCGAAACACAGCCAAGCCTGACGTACTCCAGAATTTTGTCATGGTCCAGACACTTGTTTTCAGTCAATCAAACCAGAGAGTACATGACAATTCTTTGGGTCAATGTACTTCGTCACTGGTATTCAGATAGTTCGCCACCAATATGATGGTTGGGGTGCTATTGGGGGGGAAAAAATTGCGAGGAAGGAAAAAGCAGCTATACGTACCACTTGTTTTCTCTTCTATATTTATTATCTTCTGCAGGAAAAGAGTAGTTTTCTCTCTTCCTCTACGTGGTTTTTTCTTCTCATTTTCCCCTGCCATCCAAACAAACGGATAGAAAATTTTGCATCCATTTCAATCGCTGTGGTGATGAAGGGGAAGATAATACGGAGATGTTGCGACCTCAAAAGGTCACAGCAAAAGCGAAATTAAAATGCATGGTTCCCCTAACGTATTAAATACGGGTCAACAGTCGACCGAGTTCATTTTCCTGAGCCATACTGGGCTAACAGCTCATAACATAGCCAATCAAAGTTCCAAAGGAGAACTCACGCCTTGAACAGGTGTAATGGAAGGATACTTATGTTCGGGGAAAAAAAAAAAAATTGGAACCTTCACTTAGTCCTGTTGTTAGCTGTACGTTCAATTGGGCTTTACAGTTTGTGCGTCCCGGCCTCACGAGGCCTGGGCTTCTATGAGCTAACGCGTTTATCCCCTGTTATGAGGAAGCCCTTTATGCACGCATTATTTTGTAAAATTATAGTGACACACACACTTGTTTGTAATATAATACCTCCAGTTCTTAATATAAGACTTTATTTAATTTTTATTTTAGTTTTAAGTATAAAATCTCAATCTATTTTGTCTCTTATATTTATATAATTTTTTTCTAAAATAGTTCTTTTAATAAAAGTAGTTCTAGACAAGACACTTGATTAGTAAGGATATTTTAGAAAAAATAGTACCTATTTATTACAAATAACTAACTTAATTTATTTCTTTAATCTACTTAAATTAGTTAACTAACTCTTATATTAGGACCAAAAGCAACATCATATATGGGTAATGTTCTGTCAGTGGGCTCCTATTCCACTGTTAACACTAGTTATACTATAGTCACCACTTACCAGTGCTTTACAAAATTAGTCGTATAACCTCAGCACGCAAGAGGTTGAGGTTTCCTTGTTGGCCCAAAAAAAAAAAAAAAAAGAGGTTGAGGTTTCGTGTCACACTACTTGATATCTTTTTTGTTTTTGGGACATTTGCTACTTTAGCATATGTATATTAATTGGCAAGTCCCACCCAGTGACATTCCTGCTGTTTACGAATTTGGACCTCAGGAAAATGAGCGTAAAGGTCTCTCCACAAATTAGCCTGCACATGATCAATAACAACACGTGAACATCTTAAAATTTAGAGAAAACAACTGGTGTGGTCAAAAAATGGCACCCGTCTAACATGTATCTAGGGAAGATCTTGATTAGTATTCTCGTTTAAAATAAGTATGTACTCTGCGTTTGATCACCATTAATGAAGCCAACCACTACTCCATATAATACAGTGGCCAGCTGGGTCGTTGTCACTTTTGTTTCTGCGCCTCTCATATTTAATTAAATCTCTAATATGTACGTAAAATATATATATTTATATGATTCTACTGCGCGCAGGCTTCCGTTTTAATTAATATGTTCAAATGATTGTTGTCATGGGTTTGATGAGGCGGCGAATATCCGAGAGAGACTAATAATAAAAGAGAGGAGGTTTTGAGCTTCTCTGGAAGAAAGAGCAGTTCTTTCGGATTTCTTTAATTAATGAGCAACTTGATGATGATCGAAGATGATCGCTTGTCTTCTCCCTTACCCTTCTGGCGCAGTCTGCGCGTGTATGCTTCCATCTTCTTTACATGATTCACTGTATCGGTTAAGGATTAAACAAACCTTATGTGGAAGTAACCTCACTGTAAAGTTGGTGAGCTGTAATTGCAGCGCATTACCATATCTCCATTCAGATTCTAATACAGCAGCCAATCAATGATAAATATAATAATCTACACATCTGATGATATAATTTTATACAGATGGTCATATATCCATGAATTATGAATAGCATTGCTTGCTTTTTTATCCTCTTTACCATTTGAAAAAACTGCACCTAAAACTTTGATTGAATCAATATCCTTTTTTATCAAACAAGTGTTTATAGTTTGCATTGTACGGGAAATTATATCTTTAGACTTACGCTTTTGTGGGTGACTAGGGATGTTGAACTTGGAGAAGTTGAGTTGGCTGGCAACTTAAATAAAGAAAAAGGAAGGGGAGGAAAAGGGATTGTTTATGATGACCGTAAAGATGAGTGGGGTGCTACAGATAACTATGTAAAGCAAAGAGGCCCAATTGATTATATATTAAATGAGTAGAAGAGGGAGAGTAATATAATGAGGCACGAACCAAATCTTAAAAAGATTGTTTTAGCCATAAGCTCATCATTGCTAATGAAAGCAGGACCACATATATCTTGGAATGTGGACCTTTTTGAGTTTTCAGCTTCCCGCATGACATTGGCTTCCCTCTTTTGATTGTCTTTAATTAATGGATTAGCTTCACGTAATTTCAGAGATGAATGGATGGATGTATTATTTATTTATCATTGTAAAAATATAATAATATATATGGATCTTGCCCCCATCTGCTTGCCTTACATGGCTCCCCGATTAAGGTGGGTCAATGGCTCCTAATTAATCTAATCTACCTGAAGCGACAAAACCTCAAGAATTTGGGATTCCTTATCACCCCTCAGATTCAAGTTATAATATTCATCCATTTACATCGACTCATCTGAACTTGATAGCTGTAGTTGTTTTTTTTTCCCCCCGGTTCTAATTGTTGATATTATTTTATTTCCACACCTTCCATAGGCTCATTAGTTGTTCATTTTCATATCTCCTCCATGTCAGAAATTTTGCAGATATTTCGTTTTCGACAGCCAATTATAGTATTATTGAATTGCATGCGACTGCGTCTGCAGTTTACTGAATATATATGTATGGTCACAAAAGGGGCAACTTAAGCTTAACTAATCCCCTGAATCCATTGATTTTGTTTAATATTCAAAGAATGCAACTAGTTAAACTCCAGTAAGGTGAATATATATTCGAAAATGGCATTCGAGAAGGTCTAAGAGAGACTGAACACAACGTTCCTTTCAAGTGGAGCTAGTTGCGTTCTGATTCTAGCACAGTACAACAATGACCAGTAAGAAGTGGGAAACGTGAATATCAGTCACAAGTTAGGTAGGCGTACCATTTTTAATGTTAATCATCATATGCCCTATTCTATTTCCCATATAGCTCATCTCAAATCACAACCCGTCATCCACTGCTCAGCACCCTGAAATAATTTGAAGATACTGTCATTCAATCTTTTTAACCCACTTATGTGACCCAAAATTTAGTGCTTCGGGTGATCATGACCAGAGAGAAATTAAGCCGCTAATTTTGGCTTCTTTTCCTTCTTCTTCTCCTTTATTATTTTTTTTTTTTTGCCTGTAAGGAGGATGCCCCAGCAAGGATGCCCAAAGGAAAGGAGATATGTAAATGAATACTGAGTAGCATTCATTCAATTTGATACTGACGTTATAAGTAACGGGATTTATTGAAAGGTTATTATCAGTTTCGTGCAGATAAGCATGTGATAATTTGGTTAAACTGGGTTGGAGGAATAAATAGCGGAGCTACAGCTGGAAACCGTACGGGAATAAGGTAAAAATGATGATTAGATTCCATTATTCCTTCCTCATGTTGCTCAGACTCAAGCTCTCTCTTCCTAGTGACTACAATATACCAAAAAGCCTGCTGTCTCCTGCCTGCTGGTACCGAGATTATTACTTAAATAATTGTCAAAGCAAACTCGCAGGAAATCATAACCTGTTGCTGCCAGGCTGCCTCCACATCCTATTCTCTCCTTCACTCTGCATCACCGCCTTACACTTGTCCCCCATGGTCCACCCTCCGAATCAATTCAAATGGTTTTTGAAGCAAAGATTTAGTGGGGTCGTCCTTGGGACCATCATATACACTCAACAGGGTGGTTTTATGAAGAGTATGCGATGGAGGTTAGGTGAATAATTGTGGGTTCTTCAAAAGAAATAGAAGAGGTTAGTTCACAATGATTAAAATGAGTGTGTAACACGCTGCGGGGAGGGGGAGGGGGAGGGGGGGAGAGATCGGTTTAAACAGTTGGCAAGTGTGTCAGTGAAAAATCATATTATATCAAAAGGAGTACGCCAATGAATATTGATTATTGAAGAAGCATGCCCTCCCTTCAAGAGAAGAGCTCTTGAAATCCAATGGAAACACGAAAGTAAAAAAGCAGAGGGGTGAATAAACTATTGATTAAACAAACCAAAAAATTACCAATAGTAAAGAGTAAAAGGAAAAAGATATTAGGTTCTGCAATAATTCAGCAACAGGAGCAGTTGGCAGTGGTTAGTGTGTCTTTTAAACTCATACATGACGCTTCTTAGCTTGGGCAGGTACACAACTCTAACTCTTGCTGCTCTGTCTTTCTATCTTGGCACTAGTTCCTGGAGTTGTCTGTAATATATATAAAGGTTGGATTTTTATGTTACTCCCCTATTGGTGAGATTGGTCTCTGCTGTGGAATTTAATCATACATTTGATGCTCCTGATGATACGGTCACACATACAGTGATGGGCATTAGATTACCGTGCTGAGCAGCCCTTTCATCGGTCATTGTATGATTTAGGTAGAATTTGATGCTTTTGCTCGTTCCTGGTTCTTGGATTCCCATCCGATAATTCATTGGAGTTTCCGCTGCTTTTCTCGTTTTTATCTTTAATCCTCACTAAATAAAGTTTGTTTATTCGTTCAGATTTCAATAACATACGCAATATCGATATATCTTGCTCGTTGGAGCTCATATTCAAGTCAAGCAGGTTCAGGCTTGATGGCATCAGTCACTTGGGTGTTCGATTAAATGTAGCAATGAAACCATTAGTTATTTTAGAGACAAAGGATAAAAGGGAATCTGCTTTAGTAGTTCTTTGATGAGATAGCTGTTGGCAAATCCCATGGTTTGTCTAGTCTGCTTTATGCTCTGAAAGGTTCACTTTCCTGTCTGAGCATTATAGCAGAGTTGATCCTAGGGTTTTTTGAGTGACAAGGGAAGTGGCCGGTGACAAGTAGATTATATTCCTTTTACTTTGGGTCGATGTTACCATAAGATGTTTCTTTTACTTTAACTTCCTCTCAGTCCTATAAAGCTGCCGAGCCTATTTGTTCCTTGTTGAGCCCTGCAAGACATCTCCGTTCAACCAAGCTTAGTCAAAATTCGCTTTCCCTTTAATCATACAATTATTTATTTCTAGTGTATTGTAGGTTTATAACCTTACATGCAGCCCCACTCTGGTCAAACTGTGGAATCACAAGTCATCTAATTATAATATATAGGCTAGTTTATTAGTTCTAGGAGTCTGGGTACCGAATTCAGGATATGGGGGGTCATGAAAACACCGTGGAGTTTCAACACCGAAACGAGGGCATTCTGAGTCGTCCGGTATCGGGTTTGGGCACCAATGTTTCAGATTTAAGCAATCCTTTTCTTGGTTCATCTGCCTGGGATCCACTTTTTCCATTGAGTCAGACTCACAGCTTTGGGGGCTCATCATTGGTTTCACATAGTGACTTTGCTAACTCTTCTTACCCGAGTGTCTTGGAAAATCAGGGAATGAGCAACTCCTCTCACCTTGTTCACTATATGTCTGACTCAAATTTTGCTGATATGATCCCGAAGATCCCTCCCTATGGAAATGGCGATATAGCTAGTGCAGGATATGCGTCAAATTATAATCCAAATAAGGAAGCAGGCATTGGAATGGCTCCAATAAATGATGCACAATTGCTGGGTGAGCATTCCACTCCTGAAGAGGGAGGCACGTCTTCACCTAGTGGAAATAGAAGAAAACGAGGGCTTGATCATAATCCTACATTCAATCCAAGTAAGGTAGGTCGAGTTATATCACTCTCAGCTAAGAGGTAAGAAATTTCATTCTGTGTTTTATTTCGTTTCGCGAGCTAATGAATGGATTGTTACGTAACCTCCAATTAGAGTGCTGAAGGGGAAGCACTCAAGGGTTCATCAGGGAAAAGCTTAGATGGCTTGAAAGAACAAGATGATAAGAAGCCAAAATCTGATCAAAATACAAGTCCAGATTTGCGTGGTAAGCAATCAGTGAAGCAACCTAAGGACAACTCTCAGAGTGAAGACGCTCCCAAAGACAATTTCATCCATGTGAGAGCTCGGAGAGGTCAAGCTACAAACAGTCATAGCCTTGCAGAAAGGGTACCTTCTTATTACACGTTTGCCATAACCAACGCATCTCTTTTGTTTAAATGATAAATAATTGTCGAACGATTTCTTTTCCTTTTTTCTTTTTTTTTTTGTTTTTTTTTTTGCTGGCAGATAAGAAGAGAAAAGATAAGTGAGAGAATGAAGTTACTCCAAGAACTAATGCAACAAGGTAATTGCAGAGAATGAAGTTACTCCAAGAACTTGTTCCTGGATGCAACAAGGTAATTGCAGATTATTGTTCTTGTCCTGATTTCTCATGTAACCACGCTGATTTTCATTCTGATTTTCTGCCTTCATTGACTTGGTTTAGATAACTGGCAAAGCAGTAATGCTTGATGAGATTATTAACTATGTGCAATCACTTCAACAACAGGTTGAGGTAAGCTACCTGAGAAATGACCAATTTCTACGTTATTGAGAAATAAAAGCATATCTAAATATTCTATTTACAGTATTATTCACTCGAATTTGAATGATGATCTGATTTCCAAAATGTACCAGAAAATTGAATTTTTCTTCTGCCATCTTGCATAATAACGGGAAAGATCTAGGCATTTCACCAAACTCAGACTGTTGCTAGGAAGCTAAATCATGTCTAAGTATTCTATAACAGTATTGTCCATTCAAACCTGAATGATGATCTGATTTCCAATATGCGTAAATTGTTGTATGCGATGAGCCGAACATTGATCATAATCCAGAAAATTGAATTTTCTTTTTCCCTCTATGCATAATATCATGACAGATTTAGACACTTCACTGAACAGTGTTGTTGCCAAGAGTTTTTATGATAAATATGAATCATGCTTCTGGTGCTTCTCAACTTAAAAAGCTATGTATTGCAGTTTTTGTCCATGAAACTTGCCACCGTGAACCCTGAACTGAATCTTGATGCAGAGCGGATCCTATCCAAAGATGTAAGTGAAGGCCATGGCGCTTGAATTTGAGTAATTTCTGTTACACGAATAATCTGGAGCTCTATTTGTCGTGCTTAGATTCTGCAGTCCCGCATCGGACATGGAGTTATTGGCGGATATGGAGGCGGTGTCATCGGCTCAAATCACCTATTTCTCGGTGGAGGTTTTCAGGGGACCCTGGGAAGCATACCCAGCACATCACAAAATATCCCTCCTTTGCCTCAGGTAAAAAAGTAAAAAAACATCTCCAAAACACCGTAATCCTCTCCTTTTTGGGAAGATGCTGATACTTGCTCATGCAGAGTGTTATGGATCCTGAACTCCAGAGCATATATGGAATGGGATACGATTCTAACTCAGCTCCTCAAAATTTGGGACCACAAACAGGGCGGTAGGAAACAATTATAAATAGTGCAGAGGATATGCGGCCTTGCTCGTTTGGACAGAGTCTTGGGAATTTTGCAGTTAGTGCATCATTTTACAAGAATTGAATAGGGAGGGAAAGCGTAAAATAATGATTCGGTTGTATAGCATCTTAATTCCTAACCCCTGCCTCTTCGAAATTTTTAGCAGAAGATGACTTGTTAGATCGAAGGAACCAGGTCATGCTGTGACCGGTGAAATCGATCACAGAATGTGTGAACTTATCTGTAAGGGTTTTTATAAATAGCTTTGAAAGCAAGAAATTGTAAGGAATGCAAATGTGCGGGAGCATATATAATATATATAGAGGTAATGAAAAGAGATTGTTTGAGTTGATTAGCAATAATCTTTTGAAGCTTAAACGACTGTGACTGCGTTGCCGGTCCATCAAGATTGAGTTCATGAGAGGAAGCATTCAGTTTTCAGCTTCTATCAACTCATGCTAAAACTAAAGGTGATGATGACTCAAAACCCACCTCAAAATTAGGCCTTGGGTGAAATTTACAAATTTACAAGCTTGATTTTTGGACAACATAAATTGCGGGTGATGTGTACATGATCTCGTTAAACCAGAGTAGCATGCATAGAAGAATGGGAATTGAGGATTACAAAAAACTCATGGTCAATGGCTCAATGCCTTTAGTAAATTTAACCTGCGTGACCTTTTGCTCTTCCTAAGCGAAAATGGTTCTGGTCTGTGGAAATCGAATCCACAAAAAATAGGGCAACTTTGAATGCCCCAAACAGGTCGAGACCAAAAAACCTCAAAAATAGCTAACTTGCTTCTGGCATATACGAGCGTGCACGGTTCAATACAAGTACGTGCGCGAATCTCTCCACAATTCATTTATGGAGCGAACAAACTGATTTCGGTTAAGACTTGAGAGCGACGCTTTCTCTTCCACAAACGAATATAGCGCTTTGATGAATGCTGATAGCCATGAAATGACAAACTCAATAGCACCATCAGCATCAAGCGATTGTGAACCCTGTGAAACTGCCAGTTTCGCTTTTTTGAATCATAAGCAAACTTCCAACGGAGGACAATTAATTAATTACTTTTGCTACCCTAAATTTCAATGCCTATATGTCCATGAAATATTGAGGAAAATCTGAAGAATTGGAAGATGAAGACGTGAGGTGGGACGAACAAATAGGCCGACAACCTGGCGCTGTCATTTACCCCCCCCACATCTTTCCTAATCATGGTGCCTCGTGAAGGAATCAGTCAACTTGCGTGAATGATCCCACGTTAGTCTCATTAAATAGCTTCACGAGTATTCCCACATACAGGGAACGGAATCTGTGCTGACCAGTAAAGTGTTCTTTCACACTTGTGATTACTTCTCGTCTGGTCTTTTAACTCTTGCCACATCCAGATTTAATACCACCCTTTTCTGTCTCGTGCTAGCAAAACACATCGGCATAAACGAAAACGAGCAGAAAGAAAAAAAGATTTATGAATGAAATAAGATTATGATGAAGGTTGGTTTTAAGATTTCACAGGACAGTATATTAAGCTACCGCAGAAAAATATTGTGGTTTTGGCGTGACCAAATTCTTCAAGTAGATGGGAGTCTCCACATAGCGCGAACACGGATTCATTCACCTCCTAGTGATGCGAAATACGAAAGGAAGCCCTCCCTGCAATGGGATTTTATGAATATGGACAGTCGCTTTCTCTGTCTTTTGGGTGCAAATAATTTCGCATCTTTCGCGTGATGTTTCCCTAACAGTGCAGGCAGTATTTTTGGCTCCAAAGCGCATGGCCTTTTTTGCTGGAAATCAGTTCCAAGTGATCTAGGAAATTCAATCCTATTTGGGTATCCCACAAACCGTGGTTTCAGAAGCACTTTTGCAAAAACGAATAATCTCCTCCACATATTTACTTCTAATCCGTAAAAACACTTTTGAAACCATAGTTTTGGTTTCTATCCAAACACACTCACAATTTGACCCACAATTTCAGCCTGTTTATGACCAGACCAGTCCAGATAGAATAAATGGCTCCCACCAACAGATCAATAAGATATCTATTTGTAGTTAGCACTTTCCTGCTCAAGGCTGCAAAGCGGTGAATACTGCAAATAGAAACCTCCATCACAAATACTACCTTTGTTTCTTCATATCAGATTTTGTTTGACTTTTTTTTTGGTTCTAATATAAGACCTCAATATACTTTATCTTTAATATTTATATATTTTCTTTTAAGATTGTCCTTTTAACAATGGTAATTTAGCTACCTCTTTCTTGTTTTGGCGAGAATGTCTCAAGGGTTGAATTTGTATTCTGGCATGAAAAAATTAAACAGGACAAGAATGATAATACCGCTCCTGCTTTTCTGTGTAACTAGATTCCTCCGCTGATATTTGAAGCACAAATTTTCTTACAAAAGAATTGGTCCAACAACAAAAGAATCGACAGTTTACAAGTGGGAAAAAAAATAATAACAATAATAGTATTCTTACACAACGAAGAGGCGTAACATCTTCTGATTTACCCGGGGAAGTCAGTTTTTTGTGTTCCAAAACACTGATATCTGTCGTATGGTGGATGGACATGGATAAGAAGCCTGAACAAAAGAGGATGAGTGTCCGCATAACTGCGATAATTGATTGACGGCACAAGGCACGGGCGGCCTCCCAGGTTTGCTTGTATGCATCAGCCGTGTATATTTACAGAGAGATATCAGTCAACCTGTTCCCCAATCAAGTCTAGACCGACTAACAGGAAGGAAATTCTTGGAATAGCAAGAAGTAGAAGTGGATTCCCTGAGCAGAGAGGAGACTCCTTGCCGATGCTGTTAAAAGAAGAAAAGCCAAAGAAAGCTCCTTCAAGTATATTCTGTTATGCTTCTTCTTAGATGCTTTTTCCTCCTCTCGTAGGATTACTTCCTTCATTTCCTCAAGATCAGGCACTGATGCCCCTCGTTGATGCCTCGGGGTTTTCTCAACCAATGCAACAAGATCACCCTCGGAGGAACGACCAGACTTCTTAGTCACAATCCACTCATATGCGCTACCGAGTTGCAGTAGGCCAGAGATCATAGCATTAAATTTAGTAACAGACATGGTATTCTCAAAAAGAAGGTAGGGTACAATGAAGGGAAAGGATTTTGGGCTGGAAGGAAGGATGTTGAGAAATGACATGACCGCAGGGATATAACATACAACCCATTCAGGAAGCACAGCCTCTGGAAACAAACTTGTCATAGGCAGAATTATACAGAACAGGGTGAATGAATAGAAGGGCAATATCAGTTTTCTGAGTAGAAAGAAAACAAACATTGTCATAGGCAGAATTATACAGAACAGGGTGAATGAATAGAAGGGCAATATCAGTTTTCTGAGTAGAAAGAAGAGAAAGATCAAATTGAATTTCTTCCACATGCTCATCTGCAGAAGCAAAATTGGCATCAGAATCGTTAGTACCAACATTGCATAAAGCTGTCGCGACTAATGTATTGTAACATTGCCTTCAGAAATACATACATTAGACTGTATGATGTCAGGCAAACAAAGGCGGAATAGTTGCATTGGACCAGAATGCCACCTATGTTGTTGTTTCCTGTAAGCTTCATAAGACTCTGGCACTTCACATTGGCACTGGGAGCAAAAGCAACTAGTATTATATTAGTATGAGAATCAATAAGCAATGGAATCTAATGATAGGTTTGAATTTATGAGGGGAAGACCTCAACGTCATTGAGATAAATAAATTTCCAGCCATGAAGATGAGCCCGAACGGCAATGTCCATGTCCTCAACCGTGGTCCTCTCTAACCACCCACCAGCTTCCTCTAAAGCCTTGATTCTCCACACTCCAGCAGTTTCCATTGAACCCGAAGAAATTGATGAAAACACCATTTACTTGCTGTTCCACCTCAAAATGGAATGCCAAGTTAATGTTCTGCAACCGTGTTAGCAGGTTCTCATCCTTGTTCACGAAGGACCATCTCGCTTGAACTAGTCCTAATTCCTCATTGTCCTGTAGCATCACCAATTGGATTGATTCACTATAACATACGCAATTACAATGGTTGCCAGAACATGAGTACTTATTCGACAATGACAAAGACTGAACCCTATTTTGGACTAAATGATGAGGTACAGAATAAGACGTTGAATTAAATTACCTTGAAATGAGGAACTGTTCTCTTCAGGAAATCCGGGCAGGTTGAAAATCAGCATCAAAAATAGCAACAAATCATAGTCTTTTACATAGCTACAATTCATGGCAGACTTGAGATTACCAGCCTTGTATCCGTCTCTTATCACCCGATGCCGGTATAAATGTTTGGCACCCTCGTGCTGCCATTTTTTGACCTCTTCCTTGATCAGAGATTGTGTGTTCGGGTCGTCGGAATCATCAAGAACTTGTATTAGCAACTTGGGTTTTGGCCAATCCAAATGACAAGCAGCAGCAATTGATTGTTGATAAACCTGAGCATAGTTAGAATGTTAGACCAACATAATTCGGTGGTCAATTCAACACAAATATAGAACGATGGGAATTAGATCTTTACCTCTCTCTCGTTACACATGGGAATCTGCACAAGCACCATAGGGAAGAAACCTTTCTCACCGGACTCAAGATCCACCGCACCTTCTTTCGGAACAGGTTTGATCTTCTTCTTCCCCGAATCCAGAAACATCCGAGACATAGAATTAATCTATCCAGACTCTGAATAAGGAACAGCACAATACATACATTGGCCAGGAGTTGCAGAGGAGGAGCAAGATAGGCCACCGAAACAAGACCCACCGCGAATACAGCCAATCGAAAACATCTCTAACACCAAATGAGGCTACCCACGTATAATCAAGTTGGAGATGGGGCGCACGAAAATGCCAACCTTTAAGTAGGCAGCCACCTCGAAACACAGCAGAAGCACGGACAGCCACAGGAACAATTTTATAAACGAATAAAACCTGCTTTTCACAGTGGGGTTCTCTTTTTCCCTGCCGCCACGACTTTCGTTTTCGTTGTCGGCATCGGCGTCTGTTCTTCCGGAAGCTACTCGGCGCTTCACAGCTGA